AATAAAATCAATCTGGGGGGGGGGGGTCCATCTAAATCTGCAACGGTCATGATTCTTTGTTAATTAAATATTGTTATCATACTAAAGAATAATAACAATTTACTTCTAATAAATCAGGCAATTTGGTAAAATCTAATTTCATGGATTAACTTTTTATATAAATTTACACTGCAATTGTCTGGGTCGAGTGTCATGCAATATTACCTTGCTGTCTAATACTGCATGACATGTTTTATAAATATTATATGCGCGTGTTAACACGCTTTGCTTTCCATTGTTCTAATTGTAAGTGTCAAAACGCGGTAACAATGCCTGACCATGATCCATAAAATAATGCAAAGATTGTGCGAAAAATATCTAATTTTAAACCGAAAAATGAAAAGTTATAAATTATATTTCAGACTAGCTGGAGATAAAAGTTTCTAAGTTTAATAATTAATAAATTGCATTTTACAATCTATCATCTGTTGCCAAATACGTTCACAACTCCTTCGCAGGGTTTCCATTCGTAATTACGCAAAAATAGCGTAAAATTTGATCTGTAGCTGGCTAATTTATCTTACGTTTACACATTCAGAATTCGGAGCGAGTCGTTATATTACTTAATAGTCCCATAGGGACATTATATTAACTTAACCTGCCTCTGTTGGTAGAATCATAGGTCGGTAATGTTGGTCAAAAGGCGGTTATACAAATCATAACAATCTTTTGCAGTTTAAAAAATTAAAATAAAAGATATTTAGAGCTAATAAGTCATGTTAAAGAAATTAATAAATTCTGTAGTTTGATGGCAAAAATATTTATAATGTATTTATAACTCTGTTCTATGTTGCGTAAATTCCCCCTTCAGTGCGTAAATATTACTAAACAATGGAGAAAAAAAATCAAACCTTTAATGCAAACAGTGTGCTATTAGTGTTCAGCCAGAACCAACTACTGAGAGAATATTAAAGGGAGTGTTCACAAAAAATTAAAGGGGGTAATGGCCGATATAGATCTTTACTAATTTTACTTTTATCTGTTGCGCATATAAGGAGAAAAGGGTTAAAAACGGCTCATACCATCTTTCATTTTTCGCGAGAGAACTCCCTTTAAACTACTTGGCTTTAATATTTTCTATTAACATTTTCAGGTTTTAACTGAAGCTCTCCAAGTCGTCATTTTTTCATCGTCTTTCAATAAGCACAATTTTTTGCAGATTTTTTTTCATTGTGGATTTTTAAAAATGTCGTATTTTTTGTTCCGTGCAATATTTTTCACCTGCTTACTAACAAACAAAATATATACAAGGTGTCTCAAGGAAACGAGGAATAAGGGTCTACAAAATTACAAAAATACTCATTTCAGTTGGAAACTTTAGGAGCCTTTCAAATTGTAATTTTTAGATCTACAAGTCTAGGGTTCGACTTATTGAATTGGAAATTGTACGTAGATTTTAAAAATGGTGTCAATCTTAAAAATCCGATTAAAAACGAGTATGTGAAGACCCGTATTCCCCGTTTTCTTTGTGACACCCTGTATATGTATCTGGAATCCTCTCTTTAAAGGGAGTGTTCGCGAAAAAAAAAGCGGTATAGGCTTACGTCGAAAAATATTTGATAGAGGATGCTGCTAATCTTACTTCTATATGTTACGTTCTATAGGGAGAAAATTGTTAAAAACGACCCATATCGAAGAAATTTTATCTTTCGCGAACACTCTTTTTAAGAAATACGACTCTAAAATTTAACAATTTAAATTTTTCATTTGAGCTAAATATTTGAGCTAAATGTAGAAATAGAAAAAAATAGATCAGTTTAAAGAGTTCAGATCAGTGTTAAGAGTTCAGATCAGTGTTAAGAGTTCAGATCAGTGTTAAGAGTTCAGATCAGTGTTAAGAGCCCAGATCAGTTTAAAGAGTTTAGATCAGTGTTAAGAGCCCAGATCTTGAAATTCCTGAAAACGTTAAAATATTTTATAAATTGAATTCAGGCCTTTTATGCACAGTTGAAATGTCAGGGTCTCAAGGTTAATCCTTTTATAAAACAATCTTGAAAAGTTTGAAGATAAATTTAGGATAATGTTAAGCTTGCATTTATTCTTGGCTTCGCAAAAAGTTATAAATTTTAATATCTAAGGTTTTGCTTTCGATTCAAGAAACACTTCCCTCAACTGTTCACTCACTCAACAGTTTACTCCCTCAACTGTTTACTCCGTCAACTGTTTACTCACTCAACAGTTTACTCCCTCAACTGTTTACTCCCTCAACTGTTTACTCCCTGAACTGTTTACTCCCTCAACTGTTTACTCCTTCAACTGATTACTCCCTCAACTGTTTACTCCCTCAACTGTTTAATCCTTCCACTGTTTACTCCCTCAGCCTTTTACTCCCTCAACTGTTAACTCCCTCACCTGTTTACTCCTTCAACTGTTTACTCCTTCAACTGTTTACTCCCTCAACTGTTTACTCCCTCAACTATTTACTCCCTCAACTGTTTACTCCCTCAACTGTTTACTACAATGTAAGAAAACAAAGCCTTTACACTTGCTCCTAACATCGAACTTATCGCTAGCTTTTCTTTAAAACTAAGATCAAAATAATAATATTTTTGAGAGATACATTTTTTTATGAAACAAGTTGATGTACCAAACATGAAAATTTCGTGACAATCTCAAGGTATTCTGAATTAAACGCAGTCTTTTAAAAGTGTAAGCTTAATTTTTAGTAACGCGTGCACTCCACGTAAAGATGGCAATGTCCGATTTATAACGCTACCCTAGAAAGCTTTGTTTGGTAAGAATTAGATATCCATACTTTTGTTTATTTAAACTGTTCATTTTCATTTGTGGTTTCTCTGAAAAAGTGATTTGCTTACTTGTATTAAACCATGGAGAATTGTTAACAGAACAAAACACGTTAATAGTTAATAAGACACATTTTTGACAAGATTAAGGTTTCATGGGTACCAATGTAAATTGCGCATTGCTTTCTTTGTATGGAGGGTCACTGTTAATTACGCTTACAGTCCCTTTAAATGAAAGTGCAGGCTTACCCTTATTAACCAAGAATGAGCCACGGGTTCATTTTTAAAGATGAATTTTTTTCACCACCATTTTTATATCTATTACCAAATAATACATTTAATAATATGACCAGAGAGCTGGGAGCTCTTGGATCAATTATCATTCAGATCGGAGTATCTTTAAAAAACTATGCATTTTCGAATCTTCTGTTTAGTATTTTCATTTTATTTGGGGTAGAGCGGAGGGGATGGCAAAATGTTATTTATTGTTTGTTATTTTATGAGTTTGCTGCATAATAACTCATAAAGCACTGCAGTGTACATACAATGCACATAGTAAACTATGATAAACCGTAAGGTGTATTCAGTACTGTAAAAGTTCTATACTAGAAAATATATTCTAATAACAAGAATCTATTCATTTTTAGATATACTAGGCTTTTAGGGCTCTTCGCGCCCATCTTCTATTTTAATTTTGAACATTTCTCTTTGTATACATTGTAAAACAAAAACTAAATATTTTTCCGGATTTTATAAACAAATTTTGTTGATTTTCAACATTTAATGAAAATCGAATTTTGTTTTGAGAACATATAAGGTACCACACAAAAATTGGGCCCGATTGATTCAGCCATTTTGACGGTTATTAGAAACAAACAAACAGACAAACAAGCAGAACACCCAGACAAGCAAAGTATATAGATAGATTTATTTAGGAGGATTTTAGAAATGTAGGGTAGGGTAGGGTTGAACCAAAAACTTTAAACAACAAGAATTTTAAAACAAATTCCGAGTTTTTAAAAACAAAAATTTTATAAACGGCGTTAGCCGAAAACCAACTGCGTTAATTTCGTTAATTTAATGGTCTATTACAGTATTAACGGTGTTAACAGCGTGAAAAACATCAAAACACATATATTTTTTTACAAATTAAATGCAATTTTAAGCAGAAAAAATCCATTTCGTTTATGTTTTCATCCATTATTTTTTTTTCAAAAACGACTAATCTGTTTTGTTAACGATTTAAAAGTTAACGGTTTTTGCCGTTTGTTAACGGACTCTTCCGTTTATTTTCGAAAGCCTCCGTTTCGTTAACAGAACTTTGCCCAGCCCTAGTAGTTGGTTAAATATATATATATATATATATATATATATATAAGGAAGGAAAGAGCTTTATTATATAGATAAATTAAATAACACTTTCTTCTGGGCCTCAAACATTCCAAAATATTTCCGATTCTTTTTTTCTGTAAGAAACTATACAACTATACCAATTAATTAAGAATATAGTTTATTTTGTAGTTTAATTGCATTGCACTTTTTGTAAAGATTCCCTTTATGTGTAGTTTTTTTTTGCATTTTTATTAGAATACTGCCTTATTTTGAACAACGTTTTCTTAAAACTTATTTCAGAAAAATGTAAATTGGAGAATCTTAAAGTTCTGAATTTGAAGCCTTTATGGCGGAATCCCAATATTCAATTAACGCAGAAGTTTAGAATTCTGGAATCATTTTCATTTCTAAAATAGTTTTTTCAAAAAAAAGTTTAAGATGGAGAAAGAGGTCATACATTGTTTTTTTGCCGTCCACATGTATCCTTCCTTGGAAGTATTTCTAGTATAAAAAGGCAGTTTTAATCATCCCACATCAAGGAAGTTAAATTGCCTTTTAAATAATACATACTTACGAGGAAGGTTTAAAAATGATAAATTCTGTTAATTCTTATACTTTTTCCTGCAGTTTCGTAATGCACATAGTTATTTAAGTGTACAGAACCCAAAATTGAAAATAATCAGTTTTAAAAATTAAAAACATTGATATCTAATTAATACTTTATCAGTCAAAGCTTTTTGCTTAATGAATCGAGTTGCCATCATTGCATAGAAGATCTCTTAAAATTACGCTTACAGTCTCTTTAAGCTATAAAAAAACTTAAGTTTGCTCTGTTCATTTCATGGTTTTAATAGATTTTAAATTAAAATTTAATTTTTCAGATTTGAAACTAATGTGTTATTAAAATGGATCTATGTAAGCTGTCCTTTGTGTTACTAAACATTGGCTTGATTTTCGGAGTTGAGGATTTGTGCTTTTTAGAGGACGGTGGCTCAACTATTAGGTATTTTTATAGGATGGTTGCTCAACTATTAGGTATTTTTAAAGGATGGTGGCTCAACTATTAGGTATTTTTATTGGATGGTGGCTCAACTATTGGGTATTTTTATTGAATGGTGGCTCAACTATTAGGTATTTTTAAAGGATGGTGGCTCAACTATTAGGTATTTTTATTGGATGGTGGCTCAACTATTAGGTATTTTTATTGGATGGTGGCTAAACTATTAGGTATTTTTATTGAATGGTGGCTCAACTGTTAGGTATTTTTAAAGGATGGTGGCTCAACTATTAGGTATTTTTGATAGAATGGTGGCTCAACTTACAGGTATTTTTAAGGACAGTGGCTCATCCTTATGATATTTTATGGTTTGCAAAGACCGTAAATTGAAGAATATAAAATCATATTGTATTTTTATGAAAAATATTAAATAGCATAGTTTGCCCTATATCTAAAGCTTGTTGTACTAAATGCAAAAATTTAACAAATTGAAGAGATTTAAATATTGTAAAAGAATTTATGGAGAAGTTCTACTTGAGAAAGCAATATTCAAACATTTTGCTTTATTTTACTTTTCTGAAAATTGGGAAAATAAAGTGTTAAAACTAGGAGAAAGGTTTGCTTTGAATATTTCAGATCGAATTACATTTAATCGAACTTAGAAAGGATTTATTTCTAAAAGAATATTTGTCTAGTTTTCTCGTCGAAGAAAATTTACCCGTCAATGGGAGCCTGGGGAAACTGAAAATTAAAGGTAATTTAAAGTGAAAATTAAAAGTAAAATCAAAGTTAAAATTAAAGACAAAGTTAAAGGTAAAATTAAACGTAAAGTTAAAGGTAAAATTAAAGTTTAAATTAAAGGTAAAGTTAAAGGTAAAATTAAAGGTAAAATTAAAGGTAAAATTATTGGTAAAATTATTGGTAAAATTAAAGGTAAAATAAAAGTTAAAATAAAAGTTAAAATAAAAGGTAAAATTAAAGTTAAATTGAGATAAAATTAAAGGTAAAATTAAAGTTGAATTTAAAGGTAAAGGTAGAGTTAAAATTAAAGGTAAAATTAAAGATAAAATTAAAGTTAAAATAAAGGTAAAATTAAACGTAAATTTAAAGGTACTATGAAAAATAAAAATTAAGGTAAAATCAAACTTAAAATTAAAGTTAAAATTAAAGGTAAAATTAAAGGTAAAATTAAAAGTAAAATTAAAGGTAAAATTAAAAGTAAAATTAAGGTAAAATTAAAGGTAAAATTAAGATAAAATTAAAAGTAAAATCAAATGTAAAATTAAAGGTGAAATTAAAGTTAAAATTAAAGGTAAAGTAAAAGGTAGAATTAAAGGTAAAATTAAAGTTAAAATTAAAGGTAAAATTAAAGGTAAAATTAAAGTTGAAATTAAAGATAGAATTAAAGTTAAAATTAAAGGTAAAATTAAAGGTAAAATTAAAGGTGAAATTAAAGGTAACATTAAAGTTAAAATCAAAGTTAAAATTAAAGGTGAAATTAAAGTTAAAATTAAAGTTAGAATTAAAGGTAAAATTAAAGTTAAAATTAAAGGTAAAATTAAAGGTAAAATTTAAGCTATTTAATTAAAGGTAAAAATAAAGATAAAATTAAAGTTAAAATCAAATGCAAAGTTAAAGGTAAAATGAAAAATAAAAATTAAGGTAAAATCAACTTAAAATTAAAGTTAAAATTAAAGGTAAAATTAAACGTAATATTAAAGCTATTTATTTAAAGGTAAAAATAAAGATAAAATTAAAGTTAAAATCAAATGCAAAGTTAAAGGAAAAATGAAATGTAAAATTAAGGAAAAATCAAAGGTAAAATCAATGATGAAATTAAACCCGAATACTTAGAAATAGGAAGACGACTTTCAGACTATAGTTATGACTTTAAAATAGTCCAATGAGTATGGGACACAGCAATGATTAGGTGTAAAAAGACTCAATTCACTTAATAAGTGTCTGGTAATTAGAGTAACAATTTGCTTTGTAACAACATCAAAAATTCTTAATCCTATCCCTGCTGGGGTACTTGAAAATCAGGATAGGCGGGGTGGGGTGGGCGGGTCATTTTGACCTAACAGGGATAGGGTTAAGTATTGCTAAAAAGTTATCTTATCTTCCAATTTCACTGTAAATAAAATAAGAAAATGTTCAGGCGAAGTGAACAAAAATATCTACCTAAGCCTGGCTCCTCAGAATATTCTAGAACTAAATATAGAAAATGGTGAGAGCAATATTTTTAACTTTAAGAATCTTAAATATAGACGATAGGCTTTTCAGCTTCTCCAATGGTTGGTAAAACTTCCTAGTATTTTATTTGTTTCTATTATTTCGTTGTCCATTTTTTTTTTTTTTTTTGGCAGAAATACTGAGTTTAAGATGTATCACATCAATTGCTCCCTATCAAAGTTTCTAATTTGACTTATTGTTAAAAGTAAACAGAACACAATTTTAAAATTTGAAAAACATTTTTAATTCTTAAAATGTTACGTTTTTACTTCCATTTTTCCAGGGCTTTATAAATACGTAAATAAAAAGTTACTGGCTTTTTTAGATTTCTGTTTAAAAACAGATTAGCCTTTTTATGTCCTGTACCCTACTTTATGCGCTAAATATTTTTCGTTGCGAATTTTGTTCTCCATTGTTGGAAAAGATGGAAAAATTTGAGCGGTCTAGACTGTAAGTTGTTTTCAAGTAATAGAGAAGCATTATCTGAAATTCTATATTTAATAATTTAATCTTATAATTTATTTTCCGCTCAAAATATAACAGTTTGAGCATAAAATTTATAACAAATATCAAGTCAATTGATTAACATGGGAATTGGAGAGCAGCCATAGCAGAGCTGTTTTCAGGTTGATCTATTGGCAGTTTAATTATGGTTCTATAGCAAATCGCTAATTTTTATCTGCGGGATAGGATTACATGTTTAAATAAAACCTTAAACGTTAAAACTAAAAGAAAACCAATGCTTACATCTCTATAATTTTTCTTAAATAAGGCGTGGCGGAGTTGGTTCTAACATCTCCCCTGGATAAAGAAGGAGTGTCTGGTCCCTCCCACCTTACCACCAGGTAGACTATAATCAATCAATCATACTTGGGAACTCTTGTTTTTTGTGGACATCAAGATCAATGCTTGATTTTGACCTTTTATGATACCTCACGATTATTAGGGGTTGAACGAAGCCTTTACCAGGGGAGGAATAATTCAACATAAAGATATAAAATGTATATTTTGTTATAGGTCCTCAAAAGTGGATATCGAGGTCAAACCATCGGGGTTATCATTTTTTTCATGGCAAAACTATGTTTTTGTTTTGTAAACATAATAACAAAATAAACAATATATAAAAATAAAAATATGATTTAAATTACTGGCTTAAGGAGCTTAAAGCTGTTTTTGAAATCCCCCCTGTTGTCCTATTGAAATTATATTCTTAATATATTTTATATTTTTGTTCAGTATTCTTTGCCAGAGATTAAACAGCGGGGATCCAGGCTTCTCTATTCCTATTCACGTCAGGTCAGGCTAACAAAAAATCATAATTTTGTAAATAACATAAAAACATGAAAATAATATTTTAAAATGGCGAGGTTAAATCCTCATCTGAGACATTTACTTTTGAATAAGCGGAATTGGTTAAACGCTAAATTCTGATTGAACCAAAAAGAGATCAAATATATATATATATATATATATATATATATAAGTATATATTATAACTGGTCAAACGGCTAGATCGAATGGGGGGGATAACATAGACTAGAAAGAAATTCTATTTTTTTCCAAATATGTTTCCAAATATTGTTCCCCCTCCCCCCTTGATATGCAGTAAAACATTTTTTACGCGAAAAGGAAAATATTAAGAAAAAAAATTCTAAAATTTTAAAAATACCTTTTTTTGAATTAAGGTAAGTCTTATAAAAATATTTTTGCATTAAACCCTGAAAGTTAAACACCAAACTAACCTGCTCTCAACTTAACATTTTTAATTTTGATGAATATTATAGTTTAAGATATCTGTTTAGTTATAAAATGTGTAGCTGAGATATATATTCATAAACGTCATAAAGAATTGACGTACAGTAAGAACCAGAAATCTGTGAAATACGAAGTTGACTTTTATACTCAGTAAAGATGAGCCACAGCGCCTAATCAGGGATTTTAAGCTCCCATGGTAAAACTATTTGCGTACAACATCAAATACACATAAATGTTGATTTAATATCGTCTTCTTATTCCAAAGTTTTCTGGGTCTTACTGTATCAGTATGGTTCATTGAACTAATACAAATCAAGCTTAAAATCTCCCTATTTTTGTGGTAAAAAAGAAATATTATATTTTAGAGTTATAGATGTGAACGACAACGCTCCTCAGTTTGTTGGGATACCGTACACTGTTCATCTTAGTGAACTAACACAGGTAGAGATTGTACCACATGCACTGCATGTACCGCATGTACCAAATGTACCCAGCGCATGATTTGCTAAATAATTTCAGATTTGTGAAATGAAATTAAACCTGTGCATTTGAAACGCAGAAACGTTTTTTTTTGAGAATTGAATTTGTATTTGTTTTGTTTGAATTTTTGAAGGCGCACAAAAATGACATATAACCCTAATTTTGATTTTGGTGCTATTTACATCTATGGATCCTTTGCTGGCTTGGTTTCAACTTTGATGGCGCGGCACGTGGATTTAACGGTTCTGTCAATATTCCAGAAAGCTCTGACTTTCGATCACAATTTGACCCTTTTAAACATAATTTGTAAGCCTTTTTCTTGAATACTTTTTTGTTGGCATATGTATTTTGAATAAAAAGTATAAAATAAACAAATTCGTAAAGTAAATGATTATTGAATTAAAGACCAAAACACGTTTTATTTCAAATAGAAGAAACCGAATGCTGCTCACTCTGGTTAGTCCGGTGTGGCGGTCAGTCTTATTACAGTACTTGGCCTATCATAGACCTATTTGACTAACGCAAAAGCTTAGTTTAGTGTGACAAAACATAGACATTGAGAAGAACAAAAATGTTTTAATTTCTAATATAAAACCAAAAAAATTTGTCATACTTTTGCATACAATTAAAAATAGAGGATCTAAGAGGTCATAAAGTCAGACCAGTAATGTTGTATAAAATTGGCCTTTCCCTTAGGCCTTGTTCACAGTTTTATCTTTACAAATAAAAATTTTAAAAAATCTTTTCACTCCCTTATCTTTTGATCTTACACAAAGGAAATCTTTATTTTCAACTTTCCAAGTTTCTGAAGGGATTTATTATATACAAATATATATATATATATATATATATACATATACTAGTACAGATCTGAAGATAATATTCTTAAAACTTTAAATGAAAACTTTAATATCTCCTAATTTGATTTCAGACTTTTTACAAAATTTAGATTAAAACACAACAAATTTATTTCAGCCATGAGAACTCTTGTATTACAAATATCGAGATTATTGTTTGAACTCAAACTTATGTTAATCTGCAGATTAAGTTACTCTGTATTTTATCCCGCATGGGAATTGTACACTAGAGGATCGAATATCTGAAATGAAGAAACTAAGCATTGATCCAAAAATAAAATCGTCCACAGTGGATATCAAGATCCGGAACAGTAAATCAGAAGCCGGAAAAATTTAAATTTTTACGCGCCATTAGTTTGAATCTGGTTGCGACACCTCAAAGCAGAGAAAAAGAGCGGATTAAAAAGAAATTGAAAGTTTCCACATTGGATATTTAGATTAAGCGATCGGGATTAAGGGTATCCAATTATTAAGTTTCAAGCTTAAGGCTCTCATAATATGATTTTACTTGTATTTATTTTATATATTATACTTCAACTAATTTCATACTGTGACAGGTTATTTAATATAAATTTAATTAATTTAATGAGCCGTTGATTTAAACGTTGGACCAATCAATCAAAACAACCTAAACTGGTTAGGTGGGTGGGTCCAAACTACACAGTAAGTTTAAGTAATTACTTATTTAATAAATCAAAATTTGGCAATGAAAGTTGGATGATTGCCGAAGAGCAACAAAAATAGTTAAAATTTCATTGATATTATTAGCGATTTTGTTATTTCTGAATTTAAAAATACTTGAATAAGAATATGTGAAATATCTTTAAATATTATGTATTAGGTTGGAACCATTCTTCCTGTAGACATATTCGCTGTTGATGTTGATCAACCTGGACCCTTTTCTACTGTAGAATATATGGTAAACATACGATATTGATCTACTGGGCCCTTAATTCTTTACTGTAGACTTTATGGTAAACTTACAATATTGATTTACTAGAACCTTTCTTAATGAAGAAATAATAGTAAGCATAAAGATGTTTTTGACAGTTTTTTATGTATTAAATTTACATGTTTACAAAAGTGCATTTAACTTTTTATACAGAGTAACCCACAAATGATGAGACTTAAACTTAAATTTTTAAAATACACCGAATCTAAGATTAAAATAAATCTTCTGTTTAGAAATTTGTCTTCTCATGGTTATCTTTAAAGTTGATTAAGAAACAAACAAGTTTAAAGTTTTAAAGACTCATGAATATAAAGGAACAGACAGTATATATTCCTTACAGTCGTCATATTGTTTAATTTTAATTAAGATTCCTGACGGACCTTTCTCAGACTTTGTTATCTTTGAGAACCCAATGGAAGGGAAGCTGACTTTAAGGAAGGTAAGATAAAAGGGTGTTTTTGAAACTGAACTTTACAGTCGTGTTTTGAATGGTTTTTTTAAATGTAAAAAATACGAACCTAATCTACGAGGTCCCTCTTGTATTAATATAACTTTTGTCCTGTAACAGATAATGTAATTTAGAAAGTAAAATTTTATTTTTTTCAAAACTTATACAAAAAAATTAGCGCAATTTTGTACAGTCGAAGTTGCAAAGAAATAGTAAAAAGATTAGAGTTTGATGCGAGTTCCTTTAGATAAAAAATATGAACATCCCAGTTTGTTTTTTCTCTTTGTATTCTTACTTGCTATTACAGTGAAATTTATCTTTTTAGAAAATATTTCAAAGTCATCTCTTAAGAAACATTTTTATGCATAACAATCAGAGTTTTATCTCTTCCTTCTAAATAAAAGAATACAGAGTATGTTAATCTCAATATATGTATAAATGGAAAGACTGAAAAGACTGGGAATTGAATAAGAAAAGAAAAATAAATCAGTATTGTGCCAGGATATTAAGAAGGATGGGGGGGGGGGGGGTAAATGGGGCGGAGAACGTCCCTAAGGACTTTTTGTGGAATAGATATAATTGATTTAGGGCATAAGGGAGTTGGGTGTAGACTGTAGATGGTTATTTTTATATATTTCACATGTAAAATAGAAAAAAAACTGCATTTCAAAAAATGCATCTTTGTCCATGTATAGTTTACAAATAAATAATTTAAAAATAATGAGATTTATAACAAAGATTAAAATAATGTTTTAATAAAAAAACTCACGTTTAATAATATAATTGCGCGCTTTTACAAAAAAAATTTAAAAACATTTTTAGGATTTGGACTATGAAAAACTGAACAGGTTTATGGTGAAGATACGTGCCTGGGATCAGGGTTCTCCAAGACAAGGTATCTATCTACAGGCTACACAGGGTGTCCCAAAAAGATTAGAATTAAGTGACGACTTTGTTCCAAGCGAAATTATTTCGGTAACACAATTTTAGTACAGAGTGTCCCAATTAACATGGGAATTAATTGACGAATTTGATATCGTCTTTTTATATAATTCTTTGATTTAGTAAAGTGATACCTTCTGAGAAAGCTGTAATCCGTAAGATTTTCGTCTACTATGTTTACAATTTGTTTGATTTTGTTTTGACTGCATACGGTTATACTTAGTAAAACAAGAAAATTACACAGTATACAAACAGAGTAAACTTTCGGAGACATTATTGACTCTATAGACACATCTTTACAGCCATTTACCCTTTTCATTTAATAAACTCTAACAGACATAATAATATTGTTGTTTTAGAAATTAGGTATCACAATCACAATGCTAATTCATAACAAAGACGATATCAAATTCGTCATTGTATTCCCATGTTTATTGGGACACCCTGTAGTATAACATTTAAAACATTAACCATCTAAAATTACTGGTCTTGGGATTTCCAAAATGTGGTCTCCCATTATTGTACCTTTAAAATTAATGGAGATATTGAGAGATTTCTCCAGATTTTGTAACCACTAATTTAATATCTCCGTCAGTTTCAAAGATACAGAAAAAGGTAGACCATTTTTTGGAAAGTCCAAAAAACATAGAAATAAATCAAAGTCTAAAACTGAAAAATCAATAATTTTATTTGATATTTTTAGTTTCTGAAACAGATTTGGAATTACTTGTTCTCGATGCCGATGACAGAAACCCAGGTGAGAAAAATCTTTTTGAAAAAATTGCACAATTTAAAAAAAATTTATTTTACTGTCATCATAAAGGATTTGGATATGAAGGATACACGACTGTTGTACAGGATAATTTAGGTAAAAATTGTTAATTAGGCTTTATGTGGATTTCATGCATTGTCATGCTTATTAAAGCAAATCATATTCATGCTAAAATTGACATTTTTCAGATGAATGAACAGAGAGGTCGCATACGGTTCACGCTAGATTAATATCTGTATCTGTAAATCGAGAGCGAATCTTAGATTTATATCTATCTATATCTATTTCTATAAATATCATTATTTATCTAAATATCAAGCGCGAATCATCAATATTTACATATCAAGAGCGAATCCTTAGATTTATATCTATATCTATATCTATAAATATCATTATTTATCTATATATAAAGTGCGAATCATATCATATCAATATTTATATCTATATCTATATTTATCAATGTCCATATAACAAGCGCAAATCATATTTACATCAATCTATTTTATCTATATATTAAGAAATTTTTTCTATATATTATATATAATATATTTTCTATATATTAAGAGGGGGGACTGTAAAATTTTCTCTTTTTTTCGATCTTTTTTGCATGCTTTTCAGAAAATACACATCCGCAGTGCACTGAAAAATCATGAAAAATTAAGATTAATAAAAAGTGAAAATTTTTTAACAATTTTTCAATGATCGAATCATAATGAATTTTGATCTAGTGTCCTGACTCTTGATTTGTCTATAGTACCAAAAACCGGTTTTTTTTCGAAGGAGTGTATTTTTTTCTAAACTGTTTTATATATGATAAATATATATATATTTGTATATTTGTATCTATGTTAGCTGGACATACCGCTGGACCAAGTTGGCTTAAATTTTTTTAGGGAACCCAAAATTCGATTTTTTTTATGTTTCTAAAATTCTATGGGCACGTAAGCTAGTTCTATTTAATATATCCATATTAATCTTTATGGATAACCAATAGAGCTGAGTTAACCCTGAAATAACTGATCAAGATGCTTAAACTTGTGAGAAGTTAGTTTCAATATATTTCATTATTATTTCAGGAATTTGGATTTAGGCTAAAACTAGGGCTGAGCAAAGTTCTGTGAAGGAAACGGAGGTTTTCGAAAAATACTGTTAATAAACGGCAAATACCGTTAATTTTTAAATCGTTAATGAAACGGATAAGCCTTTTTGAAAGAAAAAAATTATGGTTGAAAACGAAAACCAAACGGGTGTGTTTTCAAAAAAAGAGGAAAATACCGTTAACAAAACGAACGTTTTGGTTTTTTTAACGGCTGGAACTAACCGTTAACAAAACAGCTAGAAAAAGTTGGAACGTTCCCAGCCCTAGGCCTAGAACCTGCCAGGAAATAAAGAGGATTTTTAAAACCTTTCATTAATCAGAACTGAAAGTTTATTATACAGTAGAATAGATATCGGAATTTAGCTTGGATGGAGGAAATATTGGAGGTTAGAGAAAGGAATATTGGAGGCGAGAAGAGGAAATATTAGAGGCAAGAGGAGAGATTATTGGAGGCTAGAGGAGCGTATATTGGAGGCGAAAAGAGGACATATTGGAGGAGGGAATATTGGAGGCGAGAGGAGAGAATATTGGAGGCTAGAGCAGTGTTTATTGGAGGCGAGAGGTGGAAATATTGGAGGCGAGAGGAGGGAATATTGGAGGCGAGAGGAGGGAATATTGAAGGCGAGAGGAGGAAATATTGGAGGCGAGAGGAGGGAATATTGGAGGCGAGAGGAGGGAATATTGGAGGCGAGAGGAGGGAATATTGGAGGCGAGAAGAGGAAATATTAGAGGCGAGAGGATGAAAATTGGAGGCTAGAGGACGGAATATGGGAGGCTAGAGTAGGAAATATTGGAGGCTAGAGTAGGGAATATTAGAGGCAGAGGAGGAACGGTTTGAACAATTAATGAAATTGACAGGCTACTTGATCAAATCGTTGTTTTTTTTACATAAGAACTTTCAGTTCATATAACGGTCTTTTCAATGATTTTTATCGTCGTTAACGGTAGTTATACAAAATATTCGGTAATGGTTATTAAGTATGTTCAATTGTAAATAGTTTTGAGGGTTTTATTTCAGAAACTAGAAAAATTATCAAAATTCGTCGTTTTTTTATTAAAAATTCTGTTAAAAAATACTTCTTTATGGCTGTAAAATATTTTTGTTTTTATATTTTACGAAAATGTATTTATAAATGTCATTTAATTTCTATGATAATGATATTAGTTTTATTTCTAGCTGTTGGAGAGGAGTTATGTATAGAACCGGATAGGATAAAGGTAGTCACACACTTTTATGCAACGGGGGGGGGGGGAGGAAGGTTTCTACACCTTCTTTGATCCACAGGGCACTTTGTGTGAACACATTATACATAGTAGTATGCCAATAAAAAAACACTAACGAAATACTTTGATTTTTAAATTGTTATATGTCATTTTCATAACACCAAATTCACAGAGATATTAAATTTTTTTCTCCATATTTATCAAACTCCAAGCGATGCTGAACTAGAATTGATTATATAGATTTGAAATATGCATAGCTGCTATTCTTAGAAGCACCCACAAAACGTTTTCTAATGAACGTTTCCTTATTGAATGTTTCCTAACTGAACGTTTCCTTATTGAATGTTTCCTTACTGAATGTTTCCTTACTGAATGCTTCCTTACTGAACGTTTCCAAGCTTAACGTTTCCTTACTAAACGTTTCCTTACTAAACATATCCATACTGAATGCTTCCTTACTGAACTTTTCCTTATTGAATGTTTCCTTACTGAATGTTTCCTTACTTAATGCTTCCTTATTGAACGTTTCCTTACTTAACGTTTCCTTACTAAACGTTTCCGTACTTAACGTTTCCTTACTGAATCTTTCCAATGAACGTTTCCTTACTGAAGGTTTTCTTACTGAATGTTTCCCCAGAGAACGTTTCCTACACAAAACGTTATGTAAGGAAAAGTTTAGTAAGTGCTTCTATCCTACTACTATTTATGAGTTAAAAAGGTATTCCAGAAAATGTTAAGATCGTTTTCCTTTTATAGGCTGTCGATCAAGATATTGGACTGAATGCAACTTTATTCTATTCCTTCTCAGGATCATCTAGAGATTATGATGCATTCAATATAGACAGGTGCTAGACAATATAGACAGGTAGGACAGGAAATAGACAATATAGACAGGTAGGACAGGAACTAAACAATATTTACAGGTATGACAGGAACTAGACAATATAGACAGGTAGGACAGGAACTAGACAATATAAACAGGTAGGACAGGAACTAGACAATTTAGACAAGTAGGAAAGGAACTAGACAATATAGACAGGGAGGACAGGAACTAGACAATATAGACATGGTCTATGTAGGACAGGAACTAGACAATATGCACAGGTAGGATAGGAACTGGACAATATAGACAGGTAGAACAGGACCTAGACAATATAGACAGGTAAGACAGGTACTAGACAATAAAGACAGGTAGGACAGTAACTAGAAATATAGACAGGTAGGACAGGAACTAGACAATATAGACAGGTAGGACAGGACCTAGACAATATAGACAGGTAGGACAGACACTATACAATACAGACAGGTAGTACAGGAACTAGACAATATAGACAAGTAGTACAGGAACTAGACAATATAGACAGGTAGTACAGGAACTAGACAATATAGACAGGTAGGACAGACACTATACAATACAGACAGGTAGTACAGGAACTAGACCATATAGACAGGTAGTACAGGAACTAGACAATATAGACAGGTAGGACACAATGTACATCTTCTTCTTGTACATCTTCTTGCTGACGTACAGCAAGAAGAGGTACAAGTATACCCAACAATAGGGGGGGGGGGGTACTAATTCTATAGGAACCCAAGTTCTAACAAGGATGGGTTAACCGTTAAGTACTTAAGAGTGTGGTTATTTGTATTCTAGACTATCTGGCGTTGTATCCCTGAACAGAAGACTGAAAGACCAGGAGTTGACCCTACCAGCTACACTTATAATTAAAGCTACACAGATCAATAATCATGATAGATATGCAGTCACTACTCTAACAGTTAATAGGTATAGGATTATTAATTAATTAATTGACCGGGTGAAATTTTCTTAATTTCTGGGGTCAACACTTTAGTGTGAGAGATATCCTGATGTACAAAGCTTGATATCAATATCCATTGTGACAGCTTTTAATTTTGAGGGATATGGGCGCGCTTGATCTCTGTTTTCAAATACAACCCTGTAAAGAAAACTTTGGTTGTAAATAAATCTCTGTTTGTAAATAAACAGCTGTTTGTATCGTAAATAAACAGCTGAGTGTATGGTAAACAAAACACTTTGTTTTATCAGATCTCTTTTTTTGTAAGCAAAACTGTGCTTTAAATAAAACTCAAATTGTAATCAATTTTGCACTTTGTCGTGTACTAGACTAGTGCATGATCATTCATTTTTGCAATTTTGCTGATAAAACGAATAATCATATCATTCTTTGGATCTTTGACCTTCGCATTGAATCTTGCTAAATGTTTATGTGGATATTTCAATTTAAGCAAGGTTGTAATGCAAGGAAAGTTAATTGCTGTCGCGTATACTCTGCGTACATATTGAAACCAGTTCTCTCTTATGTAACCAAGAATGTAATGCAAGGAAAGTTAAATGCAGTTGAGTATACTCTGCAGTGTACATATTAAAACCAGTTCTCTCTGGGCGGAATTTGTAAAAAAGAATAGATGCCTCAGTGTTCGTTTAGTATCCGAGGAGGTTAAAAGCATTAAATTTTGATAATTTTGATAATTCACATAATAGTTTCCTATGACCAGAATATTTCATTGATTTTTTATGTGAAAGATGGATCCCATGTCAGGCTTCAACATCCGTCTTGTGTTTACATTGCCGCCCAGAGACAGTACACTGCAGCACAAAAGATCTGTACACTTCTGAAATAACTTTCCTTGCATTACATCCTTTAATTTAAGATAATAGTTGGCAATACTTCTTTTTACGTATCTAATTTTTAAAAAGGTTTTGGACCTTTAACCTTATCTCTGCTGGGGTACTTGAAAACCAGGATATGTCCAAATATGTCAAATGATACATCATTGAAATGCTTTTGTGCTTTACTTTAAGAATTTGCAAAAAAAAATTGCAAATTTGCAAAAATTGAATTTTTTATCTCAAAATCCAGTTATATAGTAAAAATGTTTGCAAAAAAAATTTGTCCAAAAAAAAATGAAAAATTATACATTTTTGAAAAGCCCTTGACCAAGCAATTTCAAATATGCAAAAATATTTGCAAAATTTTAAATAACCTGATTTTTAATCAAGAAACACTAAAAATGTGCAAATTTCCTTTGACCGGTTGTTTGCAAAAAATTTGCAATTTTTTTTCGCAAAACTTGTGCAATTCGTTTTCTTATGTCAAAGGTTTTTTAAAAAGCTAAATTTGATCAAAATCTGACAAGTGGAAGTGGGTCAAAACAAAGATTTAGTTTGTTACAGGAAAAAGCAGTCATTCAGGCAGTGTGCCTGAGGACTCAGGCAGTTAGTATTAAAGCGCGGTTTTAGGCCTAAAGGGAGGGCTTTGGGTATGTAGGAAAAGTCAGAAAATTTCAACAGCCTCTGACCAATACTTTTTGAGTTATGTAAAAGAAACTACAGGGGGGGTCAAATTGACCCCCCCAGCAGGAATAGGGTTAAGAGACATCATAGACATGTAAAAGCCTGCTCAGGCATTTGAAAAAAAGTTTTTTTTTGTAGAAGTTTAAGATTTTACTTAAAAATTAATCAGCATTCAGCCAAATACTCTAAAATATACTGAAGTTGGAAAGTTTAGTAAAGTGTAAAACGAATGGCCAGGGGGTTGAGACACTAAAAAATCACCCCAGTCTAAAAATTGAATGATCCGTGCCGGTGCAACAGCAACATGTACTGTATATGCATTCCTTCGTACTGTCCAGTCAGGCTACCCAGTGCAGAGTCGATCCAGCACGTTTTATGCAACAAATGTAGCCTAGCAAGATCATATTGAAAATTGATGCAACATTTTGTTACAGCTCTATCAATCTCAATTTCAAATTGCTCTAAAAAAACAAACCAAGCAAACAAATTTAAAATATTTTAAACTTTTTTTGTGGAGCCTTTGAAAAACAATTTTTATTAATTAAAAAAAAACATGTTAAAATTGTTAAATTGCTAGTCCCAAAATGTATATGCATCAGGTTGTCTCAAGAGGAAGGAAAAGTAAAATTTCTTCAAGATGTTTACTCAGTGCAGGTAAAAATATGATATAGGTCCTTTCCCAAAGGATTTTTCCCAAGTGGCAACTTCCAAAATTTGCAATTTTCCCCAAGCGGCAACTTCCCAAGTCTGTCCTAGCCGCAGCAATCGGTCCCAATCATGTTGTAGCCGCTGTGCGTGGCACCCTAACCCATCCTAGCCGCAGCGATAGGCCCCCATTGCAGCCTCAGAGGGCCTAACCTAACCTTTGGGAAGTTGACGCTTGGGAAATTGCACATTTGGGAAGTTGCTACTTGGGANAAAAAAACATAAAATATATGGTCCATTTAGAAAAATCATTTTTAGATGATAAAAATTCATACTTGATGTTGTTTTACCCCAATGCTTCTAAAAATATCTTTCTTTTTCAGGGGCTTGGGGAAGAGGAGGTCATTCAATAGGATCTAAATTTGAATTAAATATTACATTTAATTGCATTGTATGTTTTGCTGGTAAGGCAAAAAAGATAGATTGGTTTGTTGGGAAAAATTGGGAGGAACAAAGGAGATAGGAGGAATGATGTAGATGAAGTTGATATGTTTGAAGGTGGGGGTGGTAGCTGTTGTATCTGATCTATCTATAACCATCCATCTAACTCTTTATCTCTCTTCTCTGCTATCTGGTTGTTTAATGAGCACTATGATTCCGATGATTTATTAATGTTTATAATCCACGATCACATAGGTAGAACAAACTCGCTTAAAGTAAGCCAATTGCGAGAGGCTTAGTGGGATTTCTTAGCAACACTACATGATGGTGTGTGTTCTTTTTACTGGTAGGGCTTTTACTACTTAAAATCCTGGTTCGATTTCAGGGTAAAAATCCTGTGCCACCTGATTCGCAGAATGACCTCCTCCATGCCTCGCGCTACGTCTCCCAGCCTCCGCAATCCTGTCTGCACGTCAAGCATTCTAATCTCTAAAAACAAATATTTGGCTTTCTCATCTACAAAAAGCCCTCTTTTCGAAAAATCTCAACCCCGGGGGTCAGTTTGCGGGGCTCCGGGTTTCTCTGCACCCCTTCCCTTGTACAACCTAAGAGAAATCCTGTTTTTAATTTCTACTTTTTTTCTAGTTTAAGTTTCCAGAATACGATTTCTCTGTATCAGATTCCACTTTGAAGAAAGGGGATACAATAGGATCCGTACAGGTAGGAGGGGGATACATAGGATCCGCATAGGTAGACGGGGGGGATACTGAAGGATCCGTACAATTAGGAGGGGGGATACAGTAGGATCTTTACAGTTAGGAAGGGGGATACTGTAGGATCTGTAAGGAAAATTCAGAAANTATGTACAGGTAGGAGGGGGGATACAATAGGATCTGTACAGGTAGGAGGGTGATACAGTAGGATCTGTACAGTTAGGAGGGGGATACAGTAGGATCCGTACAGGTAGGAGGGGGATACAGTAGGATCCGTACAGTTAGGAGGGGGATACAGTAGGATCCGTACAGGTAGGAGGGATATACAGTAGGATCCGTACAGGTAGGAGGTGGGTACAGTAAGATCTGTACAGGCAGGAGGGGGTACAGTAAGATTCATATAGGAAGGAGGGGGATACAGTAGGATCCGTACAGGTAGTACCGAGCTGAATAAGTGCAAACAGTTTTGCTTTTTTTCACAAAATTTTGAATTAATCTGTTTTGCTAAAAAATTCGAAATTTTCGCGAAACAAGAAATGCGAAATTCGCTACATTCTCGGTATCTTTTAGCTATATATGTTTTGCGAAACAGATTAACGCAAAATTTCGCGAAAAAAGCAAAATTTAAGCAACTTTTTTCTACTAACGAAATGCGATAAAATGCGTAATTGTCGCGAAACGATTTCCCCATTTGGCTGGAAAGCAAGTACACCAGATGAATTACCATATTCTTGTTATAGTGTTATGAACTATTTGTAGACATATGACGGGGACAAAAATGATGTTGTAAATCTCACCATGAAAGGAGAACATGCTAAATATTTTAGTATAACCTCAAAAGGTGAGAAACAAAAAAATAATTATTTTTTAACATATTTTTAAAAAAAATTTTATTTTAACAAAATTCTAGAAATAATTAGATGATACAGAATGTCCCACGAAACATGACAGTTGATAAATAGTTTGAATGTCGTCTTACATTTATTGTATTATGATATTAAAGGCTTTTTGCGGTTCATTTCGTTAAAAAAATCTTTTGCTCAAATATATTTTACTTTAACATCAAGTTTACTTTAATATGACTCCCATATGATATTTCTATTATTATCTTTGGTATCAATCAACATAACAAATTTTGGAAGGAGACATTCTATTCACCAAATGTCATATTTTGTGGAACACCCTGTAGCAGCTGCAACTATTTTGACATTTCCATTTTCTTCTTATTATTCGTGCATCATCCATCATGTTCGGCTAATTTTGGAAAAGAAAAGAATTTAATTTTGAAAATATAATTATAAAAAAAATAATAATGAGTATCAAATTCAATTCCACATTTTTTCAGGCGATATAGTTGTATCGGACACAGCAGTGAATAACATTTCAGAAGCACATTTTGGTCAGTTTTCCTTAAGTCAAAGGGGAGGGGGGTTTTTGATAGTATATTACATATATATTTTTTTTTCAAATGCAAAATAGATTAAAATCCTTTCTCCGTGTATTATTTACATTTAACATTAACAGTATGGATGCGGGTTAAATATTGTTTTTATGTCGTCCTCTCCTTCAAATTTACGAACCATGCGTATTAACTTTTGATGAATGATAGCTATTGCATTTATATAGTGATATAAACAATTAACAATGGAACCCCTAATCATCAAGGTTCGTTTTGTTAAGAATAAATATCCATGTCTTTTGTCATGGATTTCGAAGGCATCAGAGAAGAAAGAAAAAAGGCAATGATTTATTCCATTTTATTTTTAAGGTTCACCTTCATAAGCTTATTCATAGATTATTAACAATTCACAGATAGAACACTAGATGTCGTCTCTTCAAGATTTTGGAAGTTTCGTTAACAATAACCCGAAGGAGTTAGGCGCATGCTCTCTCTCTTTGTCTTGTAATTCAACGCGGCTCAGGGTTATTGTGAACGAAAAATCCCTAAATCTTGAAAAGACAACATTTAGTGTTCTATCTCTATTGTTATTAATCTATACGTATATTTTTAGTTTTTAGAAATAGGTTCAAACACAGATAAGTTGAAAATCCCTTATCCCTTATATGAACTGTAAATGTTATTTCAAGTGACACCACTCCCCCCGCCCCCTGTGTCTAATAGTATGTCCGATTCACAAATGGTACCCATTTAAAGCTTTGTCTGTTGAAGCATGTTTGCCGGTAAAGCAAAAAAGAGATTAGATTAGTTTGTTGGGTAAAATTGGGAGGAAGAAAAGAGATAGGAGGAATGATCTAGATGTGATGTAAATATGTTTGAAGGTGGGGGTGGTAGGTGTTGTATCTGATCTATCTATAACCATCCATCTAACACTTTCTCTCTCCTCTCTGTTATCTGCCAATCTGGTTGTTTAATGAGCACTATGATTCCGATGATTTATTAATGTTTATAATCCACGATCACATAGGTAAAACAAACTCGCTTAAAGGAAGCCAATTGCGAGAGGCTTAGTGGGATTTCTTAGCAACACTACATGATGGTGTGTGTTCTTTTTACTGGTAGGGCTTTTACTACTTAAAATCCTGGTTCGATTTCAGGGTAAAAATAGCAAATAACAATTTACAAGATAAACAAACATAGATCTAGATTGAATGATAAATTGATAAATTGATACATCATTAAATTAATATTTCTTGTTTTGGGATATAACCACCCCTAAACCAAGCCAACCATTTAAAACCACGAAGGTAGAGAAAAGATAGAAATCCAAGCGCCAGATACAACTGGTGTATATAAAAGGTATTCTAAGAAGGCATTCATGAAACAATAATACATCATTAAATCATAATATTTTGTTTGCTAGTTGTCATTTGTCATGCAAAAAAGTCGGCAATAATATAAAACATTTCTTTCTGATTTTATAAGCAAAATCCCAAACTGTAAGAATCCCAAATGAATGTTAACTAATGTTGGGATTGGAAGGATTGGGATTAGGATGAGGACTAGGAATTTGGAATGGAATAGGTTGGACAGGGATCAATTGGGAATAGATAAAATAGGTTGGGAATTGGGATGGATACCAACTAAAGAGGAAGTTGGGATTGGGATTCAATGAATGTGAGGATGATAAAAGGGTTGGTAAATCGGGAGTTGGAGTAATTGGGAAGATTAAGTAATGAATAGATGTTCTACGGGGACCACAGTATTGGAAAGAGAATCAGCAAGAAGTTCAGAACAGAGATACAGATATAATAAAATATGTGTGTAAAGACTATGGAGAATATGTAGTTTAGTGGATAAAAATGTTTAATAAAATATGTGTATAAAACCATGGAGAATATGTAGTTTAGTGGGTACAAATGTTAATAAGGGGTGAAGACGACATTTTGGAAGGGATTAGCGGATTACTGTTAAGTTGGGATAAGAGAGAGAAAAGAGTATAAACATCATCATTAGAATCATTCAATACTCTGAAACACATGATTGAGCTTTACATGTATTCTCTTCTTAAAATTCAATCATTTTCAATTGGGGTTGTCAATAAAAGTGAATGGCGGATTTTTGCATACAGAAACAACAGGGGCTTATTTCAGAATTAAACACTTTTAGAAACAGAAAAATTAGAATATCTTCCACATTATTGGTCAGGTAAAGGTCGAAATGGTGCATTTGTAAATCGGGTATGGCCCTCTTGAAATGGTGGGAGGTCTCTTAAAAATTAGATCACAGTCCCTTTATGAAAGTTTAAATGTTCTAGTTGTTATTGCTGAGGATTCAGGGTCTCCATCAAGGCGAGCCTCAGTTCCTGTAGTTGTTAGATTTACCAGGTACTATTAAAGGAACTGTAGTTGTTTGGTATACCAGGTACTATTAAAGGAACTGCAGTTGTTAGATTCAGCAGGTACTATTAAAGGAACTGTAGTCGTTATGTTTACCAGGTACTATTAAAGGAACTGTAGTTGTTAGGTTTACCAGGTACTAATAAAGGAACTGTAGTTGTTAAGTTTACCAGGTACTATTATAGGAATTGTAGTCGTTAGGTTTACCAGGTTCTAGTAAAGGACCTGTAGTTGTTATGTTTACCAGGTACTATTAAAGGAGGTGAAGTTGTTAGGTGTACCAAGTTCTATTCAAGGAACTGTACTTGTCAAGTTTACCAGGTACTATTAAAGGAACTGTAGTTGTTAGGTTTACCATGTCAATTAAAGGAACTGTAGTTGTTAAGTTTACCAGGTACTATTAAAGGAACTGTAGTTGTTAGGTTTACCAGGTTCAATTAAAGGAACTGTAGTTGTTAGGTTTACCAGGTACTATTAAAGGATCTGTAGTTGTTAGGTTTACCAGGTACTATTAAAGGAACTGTAGTTGTTAGGTTTACCAGGGTTAAAAGAACTAAAAAGATACCAAATATAATCAATTAACTGGTTACACTTTAAGAAGGCTGCGGTAATTAAATTCACAAGGTTTTACATACTAAATTTTTAGTAGATTTATTTATTTTTATTAGAGTTATATTTTTTAGGATAATCTAAAATTTAAAACCTTCGGGGAGACCTAAGGTTTTTTTTTCAACTAATATAAATATAGTGTACTGACCGACGCTGCCCGTAGAATTAGTAAAACTCTTGTAAAAAAAGTTTAATAAAATGGAATTTGAAAGAAAAAAATAATATTTTTAGCCTTTGTTACCCCAAGGGTATGCATAGGTTCACTCAAAATGTTCCAGCCACTTTGGACCAGCCATTTGGTTAGCTATAGCTAACATATAAATATGAGCGAAAAGATGTATCTTATAGAAGCTTTGTAATGTAAACTATTGTTCTATATGTATCTAGAAGTAAGAAACCCCAAGAGAACTCTGGTTCTCCAAGTTTAGTTCTTGTTCTCTCCTTGTAATGTAAACTGTTCTCTGTTCTAGTGTATCTAGAAGTGTAGAACTGCAAGAGAAGTCTGGTTCTCCAAGTTTAGTTCTTGTTCTCTCCTTGAGCTTGATATTAGTAGCAGCTGTTCTTGTCATTGTGACTCTCATCATCTACATTTTCTCAAGGAAGTAAGTGTGTGTGTGCTTTTTATAATACTAGGCCTCCAGGGCGCTTCGTGCCCATCTTTAACTTTTAATTATATGCTCTGTATTTTGTTCGTTGATTTTGAAATATTTTCAATTCAAGTGAGGTGCCCCAGAAATTTGGGCTCAATTGGTTTAGCCGTTTTTATGTGTATCGGTTACAAGCAAACAAACAAACAAAGTATGTCTCCAGATGTATTTGCATATTTAAAAATTATTAATGTTCTTTAATTATATTTCTAATTTTTCCAATTTAATATTGGTTTTATGTTACAAATTAATTCCAATCTTAAGCTAATAAAGTGTTATAATTAATATTATTATAATTATTATTATGATGATAATTATTATCATATAATTATTATTAATATTATTATTATAATATGTACTGTAGGAAAGGTGAGATAAGAACTATAAATGATAGAAAATCCGGAAGTATGGTTTCATCAGACAACAGCTTCACCACAGGGCAACCATCAGGTTTTACATTTTGGAAATTATAATAATGAGGAAGACGACATTTGATCTGTAATATTGTTTTTTACATTTTTTCATAGTTCATGTTCTGCTAATACACCCTGTACCGTGAATATTAATCATAGTTAATGTTCTGCTGATACACCCTGTACAGTGGATATTTATTATAGTTTACGTTCTGCTGATACACCTTGTACAGTGGATATTAATCATAGCTCATGTTCTGCTGATACACCCTGTACAGTGGATATTAATCATAGTTAATATTCTGCTGATACACCCTGTACAGTGGATATTAATCATAGTTAATATTCTGCTGATACACCCTGTACAGTGGATATTAATCATAGNCCTCCTATCGATAACTTTGATAGTTTGGGTGCTAGGGAGGGTTGAAAAAATGGCAAAAAAAGGTCAAAAAATGTAAAAATTATTTTTTTTGTTTAAAACAAAAATCAAAGTGTGACACTTGTTTCTACATTTTTCAAGGGCTTTTTAAAAATATCGTTTTAGATCTGTAGCTTTTGTCATAAAACAGTTATGGGTTATTTTAGATTTTGTTTACACAGACCGGATTCTTTATTGCCCTGGACCTTACCCCTATGCAAAAAAAATTACAAAAATTTGACGGAGATAAAAAATGAGAGTGCTAGGGCAAAAAAACATTATTAACCCTAAACAGCCTGTTTTTTGTCTATTTATTCTACTGACAACAACATTTTCGCATTTTTTTTCGTGAAATTTCACGTAAATCTGTTTTGCAAAAGCAAAAAAAAAACGAATATTTTTTTTACGAAATTTTGCATCGTTTTCTTTTTCCCGCAAAATTCCTTTTCACAAAAATGCGAAATTTTTTTCGCAAAAGTTATCTTTCGCTGGAAATCCTCAACACAATACAGTTCAACGGAATGTCATCTTTTTTTGCGAAAATTGTGAAGACTTTTAAGTTTTCATGTCTTTCAATTTTTATCTTTTAGGGTTTTCAAGTTTTACTTGAAATAAAAGCTGAAATGTTGAACATTTCTTGCCAAGGTAAAACTTTGAATTCTGCAACTTTAAGCAAAAAGTTTTAGGAAAATAAAGGTTTTTATAATTAAAAGTTTAAATGAAATGTCTTTCTTTAGCAATAAATAAAGACGCAGTACTCAGTTTACTATTTACCAATAACGGTAGAACCAAAGTAAACAGATAGTACAGTTCATTTCATTGGTTGGGAAATTATCGAATTATTTGGGTTTCAGAGCTTCTAGCCAAGATTGGTTTAATGGTCGGAATTACTAAATATAGAGAATTTGGTTAAGCTATTTAAGAGCTAGTTGAACTGTCAGTACATGGTTCAACTACGTCTAATAATTCTTCAATTGAATCAGAGGAGGTTTAGTTTGAATCCCTGACATAAAGTCAAGTTTACCAGTTCAACTACTTCTCATTCTTTATAAATTTGCATCTCCGAATCTAAAAGAATTACTCTATTCTCTAGAGAAAGGATCTCCTGTGACCTTGAAATCTCAGTTTGATTTCTCTATCTCCGACGATCAGCAGATACCAGAATATGATCATAGATCCAGGTATATACAGAATTCACAACTTCAATATTGTCTTTGTTCCCTGCGGTATTAATGGCGTGAATGGAAATTTTATAAACTGTTAATGGCTCAAGTCGATAATGGTATCGTAATTACAGAATTAACAGCGTTAACGGCACAAAGCACCCAAAAATGCCATTAACTGTTAATGAAATCAGTCTATTGCAGTATTAAGAGCAATACGGCACAAGGTGGCGAAAATTTTTTTATTCTTTTTTTAAAAGTTTCACGCAATTTTAAGCAGCAAAAAAAATTAACCTTTTTTAAAAAAAATCTGTTTCGTTTTTAACCACTAATTTTTTTTTCGAAAACGGCTAATTTGTTTTGTTAAAGATTTAAAAATTAACAATTTTAGCCGTTCTTCTTCCGTTCTTCTTCTGTTAATTTTTGAAAATCTCCGTTCTACTATTTCAGTGCCCAGTCTAATTCTAGTCTAACAGATTCTACTATTTCAGGGCCCAGTCTAATCCTAATCTAACAGATTCTACTATTTCAGGACCGAGTCTAATCCTAATCTAACAGATTCTATTATTTCAGGGCCCAGTCTAATCCTAATCTAACATATTCTACTATGTTAATGCCCAGTCTAATCCTAATCTAACAGATTCTACTATTTAAGGGCCCAGTCTAATTATAATCTAGCAGATTCTACTATTTCAGGGCCCAGGTTAATCTTAATCTAACAGATTCTACTATTTCAGGGCCCAGTATAATCCTATTCTAACAAATTCTACAATTTCAGGGCCAAGTCCAATCCTAATCTAACAGATTTACTATTTCAGGGCCCAGTCTAATCCTAATCTAACAAATTCTACTATTTCAGGGCCCAGTCTAATCCTAATCTAACAGATTCTACTATTTCAGGACCCAGTCTAATCCTAATCTAACAGATTCTACTATTTCAGGGCAAAGTCTAATCCTAATCTAACAGACTATACTGAATCTGAAGTTGTTATCTCTGTCAATAGATTAAATAATTCAAGGGTAAGAGCTTAAAAATAAGTTAAAGAACAATTAACAACAAAGTTTAAATATAAAAAACCACCCAAATCAGAATAAAATAAAACTTAAGCTAAAAACAAAGTTAACAGGCTTTTTTTCCATTAAATGATGTTTCACACTGTAGATATTGCCATTTTATATAACAGAATTGGGCTTGATCTTCTCCCACTTTTTGATGAAGAAATTTTAATTCGCGATGTAATAAATGTGACTTTAATTATACATTTTTATACACAAACGATGATCTTTTGAATTAATAGAAATGAATTGAATCAAAGAATTAAATTTATTTCTTGATTTAAATTAACTCAAGGAAATATTGAATAAAATTGATAAACGTTAATTTTTAATTCTTTTTAGACAATGTCCCCAGAAAGAAGACCACAGTCAGCCTTTTCTTTTAGGAATACATCAATAAGAACCTTAATTTGATTTTTAACAGTGGATGGCGACTTCAGGGGGGGGACGTCCCACCTGGAAAAGTAGAGATAGATGGCACCTTCTAGCCTTGTAATTTAATATTTTACTGAAAATTTGTTAATAAAAGATTATTTTTTCAACGTTATACAAATTTCAGCTTCAAACTTCTGAGCAATACCATTAAGTNCAATTTATAGGACAGAACTAGAAAATCATCCAGAAACAGTGCAACAACGTAGCTATAGTTCAAGGTATATTGTAAAAAATTTTAATTCGTTTCTCATACAGGGTGTCCCACAAAACATAACAGATGCAAGAAGATTTAAAAGTCGTCTTTGATATTGAAATTAGTCGTGACCCTACTTTAACTATAATTCTTGAAACATTATCCACAAAATTTTCAAAATGAGTTCTAGCCTTTTTTTTGTGCTGTCAATATTACCGAATGCTACTGTCATGTTTCGTGGGACACCCTGTATCGGTTTTCTAACCTTTCAGGCGTATGGGCTTTCACAATTTCTGTAGATTTCACAAATTTTCAAAATTGCCAAATGGGAAATTCTAAATATCGAAATAATTTTACAATTAAATTTCTTTAAACAATAATCACAAAATACCTCTAGTCTTGGTAATTTCTTTTTTGGTGGTTTTAAAATTAAGTATTTTAAAATTGATTTCAATTAATTTAAAAAAGGGCATACTAGAAGAGTTTGCTAATTTTTGTTTCAAGAATAAAGCTCAAAGCTGTATACATTTTTAATTTGATTTTGTAAGTGTCATGAATAAGGTTTTAATCTCTTTCTTTTTTAAAATATCGAAATCAGCCATTTTTTATTAATATTTCTAGATATAAGAAGAACCCTGCTCGGTCTTCTAGCAAAGAAGAGAGATTTACTCCGGCCAGAGAAGAATATCATTCTCGTTTACAAGATAATTGTTGCAACAGCCCACCAATCTCTACTTGTTGCACCAGTTTACCGAACACTCCAAACAAAGAGCAGGTGTCTTAGAATTAGGAAATTTTAAAGACTTGATGAATTTGGCCATTGAAAAGCAAAAGATGATCCGAGTTTTTATACAATTTGATAAATTTAAAAGACCTAATATTTGAGTCGTGGTCACCCTGTATATGGGATATTTAGATAGATAATAATAATATCCGTTTGGTTTTACAAAGTTTTTTTTTTGCCAGGCTTTTTTCGAAAAATTTAGGATCACGTAACCATGAAATGTGATAATTTAGGATCACGTGACCATGAAATGTGATAATTTAGGATCACGTGACCATGAACTGTGTTAATTTGATATCACGTCACCATGAAATGTGTTAATTTAGGGTCACGTGACCATGAGCTGTGGTTGCTGCCGGGCAGAAGAGGATGAATGTTGTAGACATGCAGAGCCCCCCCGGGGTGGATATCCTACCAGGTTAACTTGAAAATACATTGCAAAATATAATATAATCAAAGGGGAAAATCTATATATAAATTTGGTTTGTCTGTTTGTTTGTCTGTTTGTATCCAATAAACGTCAAAACGGCTGAACCGATCGGGCCCAAATTTTTTGTGGGACATCTAGGGACCCCAGGGAAGGTTTATGAATGATTAAAATTTCAAATATTTGTCTCCATCAAAATTCGATCGTCATTAAATTTTTTAAAATTTTGAAAATCCGCGAAATTTTTTGTGAAAATCCGCGAATTATTTTTGTTTTGTTTTACAATGTACACAAAGAGAACATGTTCACAACTAATTTAGAAGATGGGCGCGAAGCGCCCTCTATGGCTAGAAAGAAGGGCGCGAAGCGCCTTGAATTTTTAGTATTTCAAATTTGCAGAAAGTGTTTATCATAAAAATAATTGTAAAAAACTGAAAAAATGCAGAAAAAAAATTTTGTTGTCGCAATTTTATTTCAAGTCCAGAAAGTTAATAACATTTATGATATTAATTCAAAGTTTGGACAGTAAAAAATTGGAACCCAAACTCAATTTTCAAGGAAATGGCGGGAAAAAGGACATAAAAAAGATTTGCAAAAAAAATTACCCACTATTATACACGCTCAACCTTAAATCTGGAAAACTAATATTTTTCTAAAAACCTGCATAAATGCAGGAAAAAATATTTAAATTTGTATTATTTTTTACATTTTGAAAATAACATTGCTCGAGCTAATCTTTTCAAGAAAATAGCTCATAAATTGAAGGCGTGAATCCCCCTTGAAAATTTGTGTCATTTAAGTGGAAATGTGCCCGATCCTCTTTGTTTTACTCTTTTTTAACATTTTGAAAATACATTCTTGATCTCAAACAAAAGCTCAACTAAATAGCTTGAAAATTAAAGACTTGACCCACTGTTGAAAATGTGTGGCTTTTTTAAACCATTTCATTTAGATTTTTGATGTGATCTATATTTTCTTCGCGCCCATCTTCTTTTACAACTTTTGATTGTGGCTCTATTTTTGAGCATCTTCTTTGTGTACAATTTAAAACAGTAACAACAAAAAAGTTCGCAGATTTTAAAATATTTTAATTCGCGCAATTTCAAAATTTTACAAAAATGAAAAAATTATTGGAGACACTTTTTTGTAATTTTGAGCATCCTTAAATCTTCCCTGAGGTCCATCACAAATTTGGACCAGATTGGTTCAGCCGTTTTTACGTTTATTGGATACACATAGACAAAAAAACAGACAGGCAAGCAAAGTATATAAATTTATATATATATAAAGATATAAATTATATAATTATTTAAAATTGTTTTCAGAAGTGGTTGGCCCCAGGGATCTATTCCCAGAAAGATAAAGAAACTTTATTCAAACGAAGAACTTCTTCCAGGTTTTAATTTCAAATATTTTAAGAATAATATCTTGGATATAATACTACAGTAAAAAGCTTAAAACTTTGGAATGCAAAGACGATATTTGAGCATTCTTATATGCATTAGATGTCGTTAGTTTTACTAATGAACTTATTAAATAAATGGGTCTGTAAGCACTGCACATTTTATGTATTTAAAGTTCATTGAACTATTTATTATCATATCTTGCCTCGTTCTACTTCAATGTTTAAAGGATCTCACTGTATATTATACATTTTTCTTAATATTTAATATTAACCTCTTTTTGAGTATATTGTTTGTTTGTTAAATGTTTGATCTGAGCTGAAAACTTTTGAATGGGATATCCTTAATCCCGATCGGATAATTAATCTGGAGATTAAAAATGAGAGGAGAACAAGCAATATTTAATCTCGAGATTAAGAAAAAGAGTGGATTAAGCATTAATCCCAATATCCACCATTCTAAAGTTTTCAGCTCTGAACGATCATGAACCCCCCGACCAATTAACCTCAAATTCTGATTGGGAAACTCGGAAGAACCACGGGAATGTTCTTGATTTAAAGAACCAAGTTGAGTGGGTTGACTTTAAAAGGGAAAATTATATTTCCAGGAGAAGCTGGGTTTCCAAGCTAGTATACATTAATGTTCCCAGGGTCAGGGGTAGAGGAGAGATTTTGGTTACAATCAAAGAAAAAAAATTACCAACATAAAATTATAAAATATGCTTTGTTTCCAGCATAGGGAGTTGGTTTGTACTCTTTAAACCCTAGAGTGTTCGTTAAGTACTGAGATATGTGTGTATAAACTTATCAGACTGTACACTTGTACACTGCACATTGTACTCTTTAAAACCTAGAGTGTTCGTTAAGTACTGAGATATGTGTGTATAAACTTATCAGACTGTACACTGCACATGTCAAGCAGGTTTCAGAAAGAATACACACGTTCTCTACTTGACAAACACACAAATGCTTAAAGGGTACCATTAAAAATCGGGCATTGCCCTCTTTGCACTTAAAAACGGGTACAGTCCCTTTAAGTCTTAAAGTCGTCTTCCTTTTCCAGTTGTTTTGTTTTCACTGTAACTAGCTTATAAAGCCAGGCTATCTGGGAATTTTAATATTCGAGACGAGACAGAAAACCATCTCCACTCCTCCCAGTCCCACGTTGAAACGATTAATGTGATATGTCATCGATCCGATGCTACCCAGATGGGCAAAATGTGAATTTTTTTAACCCTACAATATAAATATATATTATAAATATGATTTTTCCAATAGTCTTGAGATAGGGGAGTGTGATACATGTCCCTAGTCCAACTTTTCAAGGCCGCCTCATTTCAAAAAAAAATATTTACATACGATACATGTTTATACCGAGTTTTAAGGGCTTTTCAAATATATAAGTCTTAGCCCTGTAGCCTAATTTATAAAAATGTTATCAACCGTTTCTGATTTTTTTGAAATACCAACACTGCGTTTTACCTTCCTTCACCTTACTCTAAAATTAAATTTTTTTTAGCAAAATTTGTTTACAACTTTTGTGCTGAAAAGGTGAGGAAGTTTTAGCGTTCTAATGTAAGCCATTTTTAAGTTATTGAGAAGAAACCACAGTGGTTGGGGGGTTGGAATATAGAATATGTGCATTCTGCGCCTACGTGTGTAAAAATCACTAGGATTTTAGGGCGCTTCGCCTTCTTTTTCAATTGTCAACATTTTCTCTGTGTATACAGTGTAAAACAATAACAAAAAAGTTCACGGATTTTGTAAATAAAATTTCGTGGATTTTCAAAAATGAAATCGAATTTTGTTGGAGGCTAAGTTTCGCAATTTTTGATTATCCATAAACCTTCCCTGGAGTCACGTGAGATTCTAAACAAAATGCGGGTCCAATCCTAGCCGTTTTGACGTTTATTGGATATAAACAAACAAACAAAACAGACAGAATGCATTTTCTACGTTTCTGTTTTACATATGTAAAATTTGTAATATATTTCAGGAGGGAGTTTGTCCAGCATTCATTCTGCAGGAAGATACAGTTTGGTTGATCTTCAAACAGGATTAGTTCCTCTTACACTACCCAACACTTCTAGTATACCAGATATAGTTTAGTGTTCCTTGTATACACTACCTAGAACTTCTAGTATACCAGATATAGTTTAGTGTTCCTTGTATACACTACCTAGAACTTCTAGTATACCAGATATAGTTTAGTGTTCCTTGTATACACTACCCAGCACTTCAAGTATGCCAGATATAGTTTAGTGTTCCTTGTATACATTACCTAGAACTTCAAGTACACCAGATATAGTTTAGTGTTCCTTGTATACAATACCCAGAACTTCTAGTATACCAGATATAGTTTAGTTTTCCTTGTATATACTACCCATAATTTCTAGTATACCAGATATAGTTTAGTGTTCCTTGTATACACTACTTAAACTTCTAGTATACCAGACCAGATATAGTTTAGTGTTCCTTGTATACACTACCCAGAATTTCTAGTATACCATATATAGTTCAGTATTCCTTTTATACACTACCTAGAACTTCTAGTATACCAGATATAGTTTAGTGTTCCTTGTATACGCTACCTAGAACTTCTAGTATACCAGATATAGTTTAGTTTTCCTTGTATGCACTACCTAGAACTTCTAGTATACTAGATATAGTTTAGTGTTCCTTGTATACACTACCTAGAACTTCTAGTATACTTGATATAGTTTAGTGTTCCTTGGGTTGCAAAGGGGCTAAAAAATCAGTTTGTGGAATAAACTCAATTCCTTTGAATAAAAAAAATTTCAAATAGACTGAATTAAAAGACATTAGAATATAAGTGATACAAATGACTACAGATCAGAATTCAAAACAAAAAGATCATTATTTTTTAACAAAATCGATTTTTCATCTATACGTTACAAGGTGCAACTTTCTGCATTGAGTATGTTATGTTATGCATAAACTGGTGAAAACTCTGCTATTTTAACATCTTTATAACAAGGTTTGTAAATATGATTAAACAATATTTTGTATTTCATTCTATTTAATATCAATAAATTTCTTTAGTATTTTTAAGCTTAATTTTATGATAAACCGCATGTTTATAAGTTTAAAAATGAATTTTTGTTTATTTAAACAAAAAGGCATAACTTATATTTTGTTTCATAAATAGTTTTTAAAAGTATAAAAAGTATAAAAAGCATAAAAAGTAAATAATAAACAACAGATATTCAAGTGTTTGAAACCTCATAGTGTTTTCTCTTTGTTCAGTTCCAATCCTATCAATCCTGAAACAGTAAATTAAAATACAATTATTTTTTTCCATAAACCGTACTTTTTGTCTAAATAACACAATGTCCAAAGTCTGGTCTAGAATGAACATTTATTGTGAATTTATAGAATTAACTTTTAGAATCTAAAACAATTGAGAATTTCCCAAAATCCATATATTTTTTTTACATTTTTAATTGATCAAAAGTTTAAAGCAAAAATACTGTTCAAAGTTTTAAAGAAATACTGAATACAGCAACAATGAAGCATATATTCGTTTGGCTTTCCTAAAACATTAATTTTATTCCTTCCCTTGGCATGTATAATTTGCAATTTACTTTGTATGCATAAACTGCAATTTAAATTATCAGTTTAAATACAGTTTATATATAAACATGACAGTAACAACGATTTGAAAGTCGTCTTTGATCTTCTCATTTATTTGAGACATTCAGTCGTCAATCTTCTTTCACATGTATGATTCTTAACCACAATAACAACAAAGTTCTCCTAATTCTGGGATTTACAAAATGTGGTCTAACTTTTTTGTGCTGTCAATATTACCAAAGGTATTGAGAATTTCGTTCAGATTTAATTTATTTTTAAATAAAACCAATTTTGTCGAAATCTAAACAAAAATTAAACATATTGATCCGGTAAAACTGAGAGCACAAAAAAGGCAGACCACATTTTGGAAATGCCAAGACTAGGGGTATTTTGTGACTATTAACTCTAGAATTTTACCTATAAAGTTTTACTTACAAAAAATGTCGTAAATTATTTCAATGATCAAGGACGACCTTCCAGTCGTTTTTCTACGGTCATGTTTCGTGGAACAACCCTGTTAACGTGCATTATATACTTTTCAAGAAATTCTTACCTAGATATGCTGAACAGCCTGCTACGCTTGCAATATAACGAATATTATCTTCGTTAGATTTTCTAAACTGTCGTCCGTAATTCAGGGAAGTTTCCTAGAAAAAAAAATATTTCAACTTTGTTTCTGATCCCCCCCCCTTTCCTGTAAATAATTTTAGCTTTAACTTGTTCCTCTGAAAGTTTGAAAGTCGGCCATTTTGATAATGTTCAAATGTTGGCGGATTTTTCTTTCCGAATTTTCTAACAAAAATATCCGATTCCGAACTAATTTCCGGTATTTTTTTTCTCCAACTTTGATGCTCCATAAACCTTCCCTGGGGTCATGTGAGGTCGCAAACGGAATCGGTTCAGCCGTTATGACGTTTTTTGGATGCAAACAAACAGACACGTCAAGTATATATATCGATGAAATTGCTGTTTACCGTAGCAGAAACAATGAAGGTTCTCGAGGTCCTGTACACTTCACGGGATTGTTCCAGCCGTTTCCCTACAACGTCGTTCACTTTCCTACAATTCGGAAATATTCGTTTAGAAAAAAATCCAAATATTTTTACAAATTCTTTTTAAATGTTCAATTTTTGCCTCTTAGATTTTAATAAGTCTAACTTGTCAAAAATCTTCCTTTTAATTTCAAAAATAATCAAAAACCTGCCTTGCAGTTTCTAATATAACTAAAAACCTGCCTTGTAGTTTCTAAAATAACTAAAAACCTGCCTTGCAGTTTCTAATGTACCTAAAAACCTGCCTTGTGGTTTCTAAAATAACTAAAAACCTGCCTTGTAATTTCTAAAATAACTAAAAACCTGCCTTGTAATTTCTAAAATAACTAAAAACCTGCCTTGTGGTTTCTAAAATAACTAAAAACCTGCCTTGTGGTTTCTAAAATAACTAAAAACCTTCCTTGTAATTTCTAAAATAACTAAAAACCTGCCTTGTGGCTTCTAAAATAACTTAAAACCTGCCTTGTAATTTCTAAAGTAACTAAAACCTTGTAGTTTCTAAAATAACTAAAACCTGCCTTGTGGTTTCAAACATGACTGAAGCAGCTTCAGTTGTTTTCAGAAACAAGACCTAGAATATTTATAAAGTTAAAGAACCTGTTCAGGGTAAATTCCTTACACTTATTTACTGTCGATTGTTGGTATGTCAAGCTATCCTCAATTTAAAGAGGGGATCCACAATGGTACCCTTTAACAACTTTAATATCAGATTTGAAAAGTTAATGATTTACATCTTTCTATGTTTTTGAAGCAAGAAATCCGCAAGATATTTTTTTAGTGAAAACATAATTGAAAATATTAATCTCATATATATTCTAAATCAGACAAAACTTTTAAGGATACATTAATGAATTAAGCATGCCATTTATACCACCCAGCCCAGTCCCGCCCCGTCTTCAAAAGCGACTTGGGCGTCCTTCGACTTTTTTTTTTAAGGATACTTTTATGAATTGAGCATTCCATTTATACCACTCAAGGCGGATCAATAACTTCTACAGATCCTTTAAGTGCATGTCTAAAGCACTTACAAAACGTTAACTACACAAAAGGTTTCCTGCCACAAAACGTTTCCTTACAAAACATTTTCTTTAAAAAGGATGTTTCCTTCAGATAAACCTTTTATAAAAAATACAAATAGTTTGAAAATCTATTGAATGTTAAATGTAAAGAAACGTTTTGTAACAGTAAACGTTTTGCGACAGGAAACATTTTGTGGTAGGAAATGTTTAGTGGCAGGAAACTTTTGGTGGCAAGAAATATTTTGTGAAGGAAACGTTCTGTAAGGAAACGTTCAGTAAGGAAACATTCAGTAAGGAAACATTCAGTAAGGAAACATACAGTAAGGAAACGTTCAGTAAGGAAACGTTCAGTAAGGAAACATACAGTAAGGAAAGGATCAGTGAGGAAACGTTCAGTAAAGAAACTTTTAGTAAGGATACATACAGTAAAGAAACGTTTAGTAAGAAAACGTATTTTTTAGGTGCTACCTTATGTCTTAGTCTTACCCTACTGGCATATGTTACAGTTTTGAAGCTTCTGTCCAAAAGATCAGCAGATTTGGGAAACCGTTCCATTAATCCAGCATAAAGAGCTTCCTGAGCTTCAAGAAGGAGGTCTGAGGATTTTATCAAAAAACGGGATCTATTAAAATAATATTAGTTACAGGGCTCAGGGCTACAAGGGACTTTTACCAGACCTTCAACCCTTGACCATTACAGGGACTATATGAAGACCTTCAACTTGTTTCAAGGATTATCGTGGGACCTTTAACTTGTATTATGGGGACTACTTGAGAAACTGGACCCCTGTATATTAAAACATTAACAAGAGAATTTACCTTGCTTGTTTAGCATATGTTAGACTTATATCCAATGTTTTGCTGGAAGTTCTTTTGACAGTTGTCTTGGTGTCTTCTATGTACAACGAGAGCTAAATGAATTTCTATACGTTAAAGATTTTACATCCTTTTAAATATAACATGTAATATATAAAGATATATTTTTGATGAAAAAAAATCAAGCTTAAAGGGAGTTTCTGGCAGTACTTGGTAGTTGAGCTGAGAATGCAGTATTGTAGAGAATTATTTGAGACCTTAAGACGTTTTTTCAAAGAGGATTTTAAGTCTCAATTTTGCTCTCTAACATGTCTCAAATAATTCCTAAAAAAGTTCTCTACAATATTGCATTCTTAGCCCAACTTCCATGTCAAGCCAGACACTCCCTTTCACGAACTAAATATACAATTTCTCTCAAAACAAGTAGAATGTTAAAAGGTGCTAAATATATTTATAATAAATTGACATCTACGTAATTAAGTTTTTTAATTTTCTGAATCTGGTTGGTCTTCCTCCACCTTATTAACAGCAGTATCACGAGCAGTCACTAGATATCCTTTTGCAGAGTCAATTGTTGCAATAGCTGTATTGATTGTAGCATCCTAAAACCGTTGTATAAAAGTATTATTAAAAGAAATTTCTGACTTCATAATTTATACATTTGATATATTACCGTTTTTTCAGCCCCCACTTTGTTTATTTATAACTTAAAAGCAGCTTAAACTAAAACACTCAAACGTTTTTTACCTTCATGGTTTAAACTTTTTTTTAGTTTTTTTTGGTGTATAGGACGGTCAAACGACTTGCCAGTGTTTCATTTATTAAAACATACTCCATTGAGCAACAGTTCTTAATTTTTATTAATCATTTGAAAACATGTTAACATTTGTCAAAAGTAAAATAAATATTTATCAACATTTTGCTGACATACATTTTATAAGCTGTGTGGCCTTGAAAAGTTGGTCTAGGGACGTATATCACACTCACTGAGCTCAACTATAAGAGCAAATCATAAGGTTGTGGGAAGGAAACACCCAACCCTTTCCCCCATCTTTATCAGACATAACTAGCCCAATCGGCTTCATTAAATTTTAAAACGAGTGAAAAAATCATGAGAATTCATAAAAAAACATATTTATACCTTGGTGTGCGTAATTGCTTCTTTTCCGTACTCTACGCACTCGTTGTACACCTGTCCAGGATTATCAACCGCCTCGTACGCTTTGTTTATGGCGGGTACAACATAACCGGTCCGGACCTCGTCCACCATTTTAATTGTTGGAGTAACGTAGGTCGTCTTCACGTCAGATGCTTTCTCAAGCATTGGGTTAACATAGTTCTCCTTAGCTGAGTATACCATCCTCTCACACTCAGAATACGCCTGACAAAAAGTTGATGATTTTTTAAAGTTAACTGTTTGATGTTTGTAAAGGGTGTCCCACTAAACATGGGAAATGAGTGACGATTATGAAATAATCAGTAAACTATGTATAATCCGTAAGATTTTTGTCTTCTGCTCGAGTTCTAATTTTTTTGTTTATGTTTTGATTGCATTCGGTTGTTCTCAGTAAAAATTTTATTAATTCCGAAAAAAATGTTGTCCGAAAAGTAGAAAGTTAATAAAACATTTTATATGATTTTAATACAAAATAATAACAAAATAAAAAAATAATACCTTACATTACTTTTCAATTTTTTTTTTCAATGGTTAAGGTTTCAATGATTAAGGTTAATTGCAGCTTTCTTAAGGAAGTTTTTTTCGATGTTTTGATATAACTGGTTTTTAAGAAATCTTTAAGAATAAAATAATAAAAAAAAAATAAGTTCATTGGGAACTATAAGGAGTGCCCTGTACTGCAATACCCGTTTGTCTAGAAGCTCCATACTTAATAATATTATGGCTTTTAAAATCAGGCATACTTCATTTAAACAAAAACGATCGCGTATTTATCGCTCAATTCTCATGTTTTTTAGGACACCCAGTATAAACTAAATATACCTTAGTGGTTGAATCCTTGATGTCATAAACTTTATGTACAACAGGGTCTACATATGCTGTCTTGGTTTCAGCCACCTTATGTACACAAGTACCGTACATCTCTAGTGTACTGTCCTTCAGGTCTGTTACAACTGTTACCGCAGGGGTCACATAGTAATCCTTAGTCTCCGTTACCTTAAATAGAGAATAAAATTATTAAATATATTTGTTCAATAAAATGTGGGACTAGCTAGCTGGAGTGCTCGGCGTTGCCCGTGAAAAAACGAATTGAAAAATAATCGATTTTTGAAAAAATGAATTTGAATTTTAACCTATGTTACCCCCCAGTAGCCACGAGTTTCCGAAAAAAAATTCAGCTTACTCGGTTCAGCCATTTTATCATCTATAGCTGACATACAGTTAAACCCTAAATGAGCCATATATCGAAAGAATTTATCAAATGTCGTCTTGAAAATTTTTCAATTGGTTTTATACTATTTTACATAAATATCAGTTTTTGCGAAAATAAATAAATAAATAGCCATAAATACGCGGAAACAAATTTAAAGAGCTCCATATATTATATATTTATGAGCGAGGAGCTTTATTATATAGATTACATTTATTTAAAGTATTCAGTTAACAAATGATATTTTTTATACCCAAGATTAGAAATGCTTTGAAATTAAATTTGTTTAAATATTTTTCCATTTGTTATAACGTTGCCCTTTAAACCTACATTTTTTTCTATAATGGGGAATTTTTTTTTTCGTTTTTCAAGCTCGAGTTTTTTTTATAATTGACTCGTTTTGTCATTGTAGCAGAAATGCGCAAGCCAAGGTTTACAATAATTAATTTTCAAAGAGGAGATGACATATCTTTCTTATAATCCATATCAGGCAACAATTTTAAAAGTACTGTTGTGATTCGAACATGTCCCTCTCTAAATGGAGATTCACTTGACACATACAGTCACTTTACAAATTGCTGAATAAAAAATTTACCTTATCGTTAACTCTGTCCATGCCATGACAAGCATAATCATCCAGGGTTTTCAGAGTAGGAGTAAGATTAGTCTTTACCGTCTCAACCCTGATAGATGTCAAGTTTTAGCAAAGTTTGATTCAATGATAGTTAAAAGGACTGTAAGCGTAATTTCCAGTGACCCCTCTTTTTCTTGCATAGGGTAGGGTACAGGGCAGTAAAAAGTCTTGTCTGTGTAAAAAAAAAATCTAAAATAGCACCTAACTTTTTTATGACTACAGCTACAGATCTAAAAACTATATTTTTGAAAACCCCTTGAAAAATGGATGTAAAAAACATGTGTCACACTTAATACTTGTTTTGAACAAATAAATAACATTTTTTGACCTTTTTTTCGCATTTTTTCCACCCTCCCTAGAATCCAAACTATAAAAGTTATCGATCTAATTTATTTTTAAAATTTGAAGAATTCGGCTATGAACAACCCTATATCTATTCTCTAAGGCCTTTATCAGGGGGGTGAGGGGGGTGAGGACGCATACCCCGTCTAGACACCCCAGCCTTTATAGGGTTAAGAGACAAATTTCAGATCTGTTACAAGTTCGATTACTGAACTGCATGGTCTAACTTAAAATGTGTGCCAAAAATTAGTAAAGATTCATATTATTTTGTTTTTGGCAAAAAAAGCAGCAATACATGTAAGAACAGCATGTCTACTTGTAAAAAATTGTCATGTTTGCTATGTTTTATGCTTTAGGCCAGAATTTTACAGAGCCCTTAAAGATATATCATAATTATTTAAACTTAAAACAAAGAAATTTATCTTGTTTAGAAAATTAACGTAAAGCTATTTATGTGCATTTACCGGCAAAACTTTGTGACCTCGTAGCTCTTCTAGTTTTATGCACAAGTTCCAAAAAAGCAAGATATTGTCCGGTTGCATATCAGATTTTTAAATAATTTTTGTTTATTTCAATAGTTCTTTAATAAGAGGAGTTTGAATATAATTATAAAAAAATAAAATGTCGATCTTAAAACGCAATTTACATAAGTTTAATGTGCCCATGGCGGATTCACTGCTAGAAGGGTGTTTTTATTTGTTCCCGTAAAATATCAAGAAGCAAATAAATTGTCTTCTCATTTTATAAACATTTTTTATTTTCACCAATCAGAAACGAATAACATTTTATCCAGCCGACACGCTTCGAAACCATCTTTTATATTTCAACTTTTGATTATGCAGCTTTTGCTGTGAACATCGTCTCTTTTTACAATATAAAAAATAACAAAAAAAATGTTGCGGATTTAAAAATATGTGTTTTCGTATTTAGAAAAAATTACAAAAATTAAAAACTTTTGGACACACATTTTTGTAATTTTCTGCATTTATAAACCTTCCTGGGGTTAGCGAGGTCACGCAAACAATTTGGGCCCGATCGGTTCACTCGATTTGACGTTTATTGGATACAAATCAACAGACAAAAAAAGTATATATATATATATTTATAGACGTATGAAAATATTACCTTGAACTTAAATTGTTCTCATAGATACAGTTCACAGAGGACAAAACAGATTTAACCTCTAGATATCAAAAATATTAAACAAATATTTTTTCATATTTTCATTTGAACTTTTTACCTTCTCGCTCACCAACTGTTCTGATCTTCTCTGTAACCATTTGGACGGGTCTATATAAAGGGATTAGTTGTCAAACGATGTTTTGTATAAAGAAGACATTTCGAATAATGCTTTTAATAGCTTGGGCACCAAGATTTGCCCGGAAACTGAACTTTTACCATAAAAGTCAACTCACTTAATTTAGAACTTTTGAACTAAACCAAAACATTTTCGTTCTTCTACCGTGTTCCCCAATCATAATATAGGCGCTACAACATCTGCTCTATTTCCATTTGCTCAATGGCCATTTGCTCTAGTTCCATTTTATCTATTAACCATTTGCTCCAGTCTATAGCTCATACATCACGACGTTTGCTCTATATGTCATCTGCTCTATACCTTAATTGATCTTTTACTTAACACGTCATTTGCTCTATACACATTTTTATGACTGTCTTGGTCCAATTGCTCTACTCAACATTTGCTCTATGAGTAAACACGTCATTTGCTCTATAAACATATTTTACAGTCTTCTCTTGCTTTATTAAACGCATCACATTCAGCTAACCGGAAGTTTATCTGCCTAATATCTGATGGATGGCTGTGCTCAGGCAAGTTCAGAATTTCCTTCCCTTCTATGAAGGTTTTAGCCACAGCATAATCTCCCTTCTGTATTCAAGACATCTCCAGTACTGATAGACACCCTGTTTGTTTAAGAGTAGAATAAATATAGTTTTCACCACATATTATAGGTTTTTATCCTTGTTATTATTGAGCAGTCGCGCTGTCATGATGAACTTTGAAGAACTGACTAAGACTCCAAGTTTCAATAATTTGCGAATTTTCCAAAAAAAATCCCGCATATCGAATTTCAATAAAATCTAGTTTCCAGTGTATTTTTAGGTTATAGAGCAAATGATGTGTTTAGTCATAAAGCAAAAGCAAATGAGGTACAGAGCATATGGAATATAGAGCAAATGACTCGATAGAGCAAATGGAAATAGAGCAGATGTCAAGGAATTCATGACTTCTGATCGAATGGGTTCATGAAGTATACGGTCAGTACAAACAGACAAGCACAATTGCTACACTTAATTTTATAGATATTCACGTAGACACATTTATAAACGATCCAGCTGTTCATTTTTCATAAGGATAAATTAAAATCTATTACACCCTCAACGAAAAAAAACCAGTTCTAGTCAGACTGCTATAAAAAGTTGCATACATTTTTTAAGATTTGAAGTGTCACAACGCCTTGATTTAACCTCACTCTTACTTTTTTGTAGCACTAGACATGTACATTTTTGTACTTTGGTGCACTTTAGTTTTAGTTATTTATAAGAAACTAGCAAAATTGATTTGTACGTGAAAGCTTGCAATTTTTGAAGCACTGTTGTACAATCTTTTACCTTGTTCTTGAGATAAGTTCTGTTGTGGCAGTCACCGTGCTAGTTAGAACCGATACCATTGGTAGTTCCAACGCTTTGGTGAAACAGCGAAACACTTGGTCGTCTTCCGCGGTAGCGTGTTCCTCCGCAGTAGCCAGCTCCTCAGCGAGGCTAGTTTCAGCTGCAGCCAGCTCCTCCGCGAGGCTTGTGTCCGCCATTTTTAAATTGATTTCACTTGAATGATTTTTAATGCAGGTAGCCATTGATGATAGTGGGACAGCTTTCGACCTGAAAAATTTCTTTCTCATCAAAAAGACCTCTTAAATTGTATACACTACTCAAATATTAGGTCTTACATAATCAAATTGTACAACAAAATCTGATCATCTTATGTTTTTACTTAACCAAATATTGGTTGGTTGAAATTGAGAACTAAATCTAAAGTGTACATCCAAGAAAAATTAATGCAAAAGTAAAAATTGGCTTGGTTTGTAGGTTATTTAGCTTTATGCACAAATAGAAATATGTTCAAAAAGCACATTTCAGCTTCTTCCAAGGTCAGCTTCAATGCTAGAACTTTTAAAACGTTTGTAAATTAAATGTAAACCCATGATAAACAAATTCACCATTTCTATTAGCATCTTTATGGGGTTTGAATGAGAGACAAAAATAAAAATTAATTTTCTTAATTTTTGACTGAAAAGGTCTTATTTTTACAATTCTTGGATGATATAGTAGAAAATTTAAGAAACCCAGAAGAAGCATATAATAAAAAAATTAACAAATCTGTTCACCAGGATTGTAAGATAATTTATAGATGTTTTGAAAGCTCTATCTCTAAATCTGACCATGGGATAAACTGAAATGTGCTTTTTAAACATATTTCTATAAAGCTAAATAACCTAGAAACCAAGCCAATTTTGCTTATTTATTTCTTTTTCTTGCATGTACATTAGATTTAGTTCTCAATGTGAATTAATCAATATTTGGTCAAGGAAAAACATAAAATGATCAGATTTTGTTGTACAATTTGATAAATCTAAAAAACCTAATATTTGAGGAGTGTATTAAAGCTTGCAAAGTTTAAATCAAACTGTAATAAAATTGATAAAATTCGCCTTTTTTGAAATTTCAATTTTGAATTTAAAGTACGTAACGTTGTGTAAAAATTAAATTATAATCTCAAGAAGGTTAGAAAGGTTACAGATAAAAAATAGTCCTTACAAAGAAACTGAACAGTAAAAAGTGAACAGTCCATTCAAATCTAATATTTGTATCTTTGCAAAATGTTATTTAAACACTTGCCAATTTAAATCATGCAGAATTTGAAGCTTGAAACCAATATAAGTTAACAAATAGAACAGTTTAACTATAAAGCAGTGAAGTTAGTACGTTAATAGTTCAAGTTAAACTATCTTTAAGCAGACTATGATTATACAATATAAGTTAACAAATAGAGCAGTTTAACTATAAAGCAGTGAAGTTAGTACGTTAATAGTTCAAGTTAAACTATCTCTAGTTTCATTAAATCATCTTTCATCTTGTTTATCACATGTCTCTTATCCTTATCAATCCGTCTTATCTCATGTCAAAGTCTTAATAGGGAGGAGGTGAGGGACCTGTCCTTTAGAATAAATTTTATAGAAGTAATGAAAAATTTTATGTTTTGAATATTTAATATTTTTATAGTTTTGCAATGTTTTTTGATATTCAAGAAAACATTGTTCAACATTTGAAAATTAAATATTTTATTTCAAAAATTTGTGTTTTTACTTCTAAAATATCTATTCTAACGTTAGGGGTAGCGCCAGGTCATTTTAAATATTCATCTGCGAACACAGAGACTTTGATACCATTTTGCGGGGCTCGTGGCGGCCATGCACCCCCTCCCTCTGCTTGATTCGTATAAACAAGATTGGGGACGCAGTAGAAACATTCTGATAATGATGTTTCAACACGTATTTATCAAGTGTTAACTGATAATCAATCATTAATTTTATAAATCGAGAGATAAAATTGTTTATAAATTGCAGCTGAAACAGAGCCTATTATCTTATAAATATATAAAGTTGTAATCTCTGTTTGGGTGTCTGTTTGTTTGTTTGTCCGATCATAACTCGGGAACCTCTGGACCGATCCGCCTCACATGGGGAACTCAAGAGACCCACGCGATTGTTCTTAGCTTGGTTTTGAGATTCTTATTTGAGTGGGTCGACTTTTATTGCGAAAACATTTAGTTTCCCGGTAAAATCGTTCAAGTGCGGGTAAACGGCATAAGTAACTTTTAGTAACCAAAGCAGTTGTGGGTTCCCAAGCTACTGCTTAATAAAATGTTAATAGAAAAACTATATAACATTTTTTCTTCAGTTTTTCTATTCAGAAAAAAAACTTTTAATGTATTTTTTATCAATTCAAAGAGCTAAAAGTGAGGAAAAAGTTACCACAAATCTTGTGAGATTAAAAAAACATCGAATCTCTCTTAGATATATTATATACAACAGCGAGTGCAACATCAAATTGTATCGTGTTATAGCTTTAAACTGCGATTAACGGGACTAATAAGAAAATTAAAAAGAACAAATCATTAAAAAAATTGTACATTACTAATATAAAGATTTGCATGCAGAGAATCCTAGGGTTTTCAAGTATTATGTGCGTATTTTGGCGTTACAGATTGGAGATTTTCTAATACATGGTGTCCCACATCAAATTAGACCGAATTACGATTTTTGGGACTAATTAGAAAATTTCATTATAGAATGAATCATTTTGAAAAATAACTTAAGGCTTAGATAAGAATTTTCTTGCGGAAAATGACAATTTTTTCGAGTAATAAGGGTTTATTTTGGTGTTAAAGATTGGAGATAATCTAATATGATATGGGACGCTCTGTATAATATGGAACTTGCCGCCCAAACCTATCTTATCAGAAAATTCTGGAACAATGAAAGACGACATTTTAAATATAGTGATATTTTACCTAAAACTGAGGCTGGGAAGTAGAGAGTCTGTGGTATTCTCAGATTCAGTCTAGAAAACATACATAAAGCACTAGCTTTCAAACCCAGCGTGCCTAGGTTAATTATGGTTACTACTGCCGTTTACCCGCACTTGGTCGAGTTGGGGAAACTAAGGTTTCGAAACAAAAGTCCACTCACTTTAGAATCTACAAACCAAGCTAAGAACATTCCAGTGGCTCTCCTGAGTTCCCCAATCAAAATTTTAGGCAAAATGGTTCAGGGGTTCCTGAGTTATGATCGGACAAACAAACGAACAGACAAACAGAGATTACAACTTTATATATACTCAGAGATAATTATAAAGCATGCGACTTCAATGACAACTTTACAGATTTTATTCTCAATATATATTTCATAGTTTTTGCCTTTATTGAACTAAACCACCACAACTGTTATTTAAAACTTAGTTATAAGGTAATGTGAACATAGTTTTAAATAACCCTTCATTTAAAGCTTGGCATTTCAGATTCACTACTTAAAATGTTTCGGGACATAGATGAATGAGATCGAGATATCGTTATTTTTCACGCTGAAAATTGATGATTTTATTGGTAGTTGCCATTTCAAAGTGAAAGTAAACATTTAAGTGTGAACTTTTCCAATTTTACAAGATAAAAAACAAGGTATCTTCCGCACTTTTTTCTAAGAAAGTCATAGAGGTTTAAAAACGTTCAAAATCTCGTTTTCTAAATTAAACTTATTTGTAGTGAAAATGGAATGTTGAACATATTTAGATTTTTAATTAAATAAATATTTCAAGCTTTTAAAAACTGTTCTTGTACAGATTACGGTTATTTATTTATTTTACAATAAAATGAAATTTAGGTATTTAAAAATTGTCAAGACAACATTTTATACATTCTTTCGATGTCTCAGTTCAGGGAATAATCTTGGTGGTAATTAAACCCCCCCCCCATCCACTCTTGTACATGGTTTACAGTTACATATTGTCTAAATCGTACTTTATGATTTTCAGGTTGAATGAATGCTTACTAAAAATTTACAAGATTAAGTAATAATATGAATATCGTCTTCCGATAAACCTTTGCCGATTTGCATTTGAAATTACGCTTACAGTCCCTTTAACATGAAATTGCAATGTTTTACCTCCAGTGATTTGATGATTGGGTTTCCCCTCATGTTTTCATCAGCGTTAATGAGTACTACGGCTAATTTCAGAAATATCTCACAAACACTGAATAAATATACTTTACTTTGTTCCAAACAAAATATGATTGTTGTTAACGAAAGAGAAGTGAAGGCTCACCAACATCATGAAATGGGCTCTCGTTGTAGTTTTGAGAGAGGCTGCGCCTGATTCACAACAAAATCTTAATTTAAACAAAAACATAAAAGATGAAACTTTTTCTGTCATGCAAAAAAATTTCTTCAGTGTTTTTGAAATATAAAAAAGCACAATTGTCACTTTGAGAGAGAAATCACATAATTAAATTAACAGTTTTCAAAAACAAAACATGAATATATCTAATTCATGCTCGATCAGACAATGCCGTTAAGGATAACGTTGTGAATCAGACATGCCACTCTAACAATGAAAAATCACTTGGTATTACATTTCAGTCCTTTTATTAGCTTGTTCTTCAAAATCAATGCCCCCCCCCCCCCGGCCCTCACTTTTAAAGATTAAAAAAGCTTAAATTTCCCCCACGCAGAAATGGATTGATAATATACCTAGCTCGGACGAAATAGCAAAAAACATCTTCTAGAATTATTTCAGATCCGATCCAAACAGACAATAACTTTTCTCTGATGCGAAGCGATATCTAAACAATAATTTCAGATTATTTCGTTGGATGTTATAATGAATCTTCAGTTTTTTTAAAGGAATTGTTGTTGTAATTTATAAACTGACTCATTATTTAAAGGATTGTCGCATTAATTTATAAACTGACTCATTATTTAAAGGATTGTCGCTGTAATTTATAAACTGACTCATTATTTAAAGGATTGTCGTTGTAATTTATAAACTGACTCATTATTTAAAGGATTGTCGCTGTAATTTATAAACTGACTCATTATTTAAAGGATTGTCGTTGTAATTTATGAACTGACTCATTATTTAAAGGATTGTCGTTGTGATTTATAAACTGACTCATTATTTAAAGAGGTGCTAGCCTAATGACAAATTTCAAACTTATATCTGAATAATAGGGTGAAAGATATCGTGGTTTTTCCAGTTAGAAAAGTGTTTAATTCGGACAAGCTGACAAGCTTTCAATGAGGATGAGGAACAGATCTAGCAATACACAGTAAGCAGATACAATGTGTCTCACGAAACATGACAGGAGCAACTAGCAAGACGTCATAATAAATAAATATTTAAATTTATTTGTGATATTTGGATGTCATTTTTTTAAATATATGATTCTTGAAATAATTACCAAATAATTCTCCTAGCCCTAGAATTTCCAAAATGTGGATCGCTTTTTTTGTGCTTTCAATATTACTGGAGATTATAAGAATTTTGTTCAGACTTCAATTTTGATAAATAAAACCAAAATTGTCAAAATCTGAACGAAGTTCTTCTTATCTCGGGCAATATTGAAAGCTCAAAAAAGGCAGACCACATTTTGGAAATGCCAGGACCAGGGGTATTTTATATCATCTCTAGAATTTTACTTCTAAAATTAGGTTGAGAAAAAATACAGCAAATTATAAAAAATCAAGACGACCTTCAAGTCGTCTTCCTATTTTTATGTTTCATGAAATTAAATTGTATATATTTATTCTAAAGTGTACTCTAATGTGCACAGGACAAACTTGGTGCAAAGCGCGTCATAATTCAAGTTTAAAGGGACTGTTTAGCGTAATTTCAGGTGACCCTCCATACAAAGAGGGGAAAGCCCGATTTACAACAGTACCCATGAACAGTGTTAGTCGAGGACAGAGATGTGATGTGTGTGTACACATATCTAAATTCGCTTGTATGATCAGCTGAAAATTCCGCTGTGCGCTGCGTTAAGTTCAGACTGTACGCAGTGTACACCGGATTTTTCAGCTGATCATTGTAAATCGTGCACTCCCTTCTTTGCATGGAGGGTCACTTGAAATTACGCTTACAGTCTCTTTCAGTACACTGGTAAACAGAAACATTCTGAGGTCCACTGCACTCAACACTTACAGGAACTTCCAAAGGCATAACTAAATTCTAGGAATCAAGCACTTGGCGAATTTGACACAGACTTTCGCAGATATCAAGATCAAGCTTTAAAGATTTACCTCTGAATTATTCGAATTTACCTTTACATCTAGCTTCGAAAGGTTTCCAAACTCTAAACTTTTAAAATTTGTCCGAAACAGAGTTCGCAGAGTCTTTTCCATTTGGGTGAGAACAAGAACCATGTAGGCATTATCTTCTTTTTCTGCCTGTTTTAAGAGATGGGCACGTTCGACGTTTTTCATTTTGTTTTCGTTCTCAAAATGTCATTCGTTAAAAAAAAGATGCCCATCTCCACCTGTTTCAGCAAGGGCAATAAACTGTTGTAGTCCAAGACTAGTTTAAAGATGTTAAAGTTTGGTGTGTATTGAGACACTAATCCCTGGACATCATCAACCATCTAGAATAAAAAGAAAAAAGTTAAAATTAGATATTATAAAGATTTATTTACACACTAAGATATAAGTTGTACAAAGTACACATATATAAATGGTGTAGCTTAAATATTTTGAATGTATAGTTTTACAAAAAAAAATCTTAAATACTAGATCCATAAAAAAGACAACAATAAATCATGTACAGTTTCAAAATTGCATCTGAACCCGCGATTTAAATACATACAATTACCGAGAACAAATTCTATCTTGAGTTTTTCAAAACGGCTTTTATAATTCAAAGGGTAGTGAAGCCTTACAATTTTAGGAGTTGATTAAGACCAATATTAGTTCTATCTGATGTCCCCGTCTCGAGAAATTGATAAAAAAAACTGTGTCCAAGTTATATAAAAACTCGTATATACATACGTATATAAGATAAAACCAGTTATAGGTCAAAGCAGGGGTTATGCATAGTAGTTTAACGTTAAGATAAAAAATTCCATCGAGTGCTTAACATATTTTTCTTAAATCCTTTAAAAATGGAAGACGACTTGTTAAAGAACTTGTTGTAAATAATCCTATCTGAATCGGTAAAGAAAGTAACATTTATAAATGTAGCCTACATACAAAGTTTCAGGCATTTTTAAATAAAACATAAAGATCTGAGAGCATAGTTACTGTTCTCATCCTTCCCATCCTTCTAACCCTTCTTGTATTAATACAAAAATGAAATTCTAAACGAATACCTGAGAAATCTGAGATAGTGTTCTAAACCCATGAGCTTCAAGGATAAAATCGACGGATTTCAGAAGAATAAAAGAGCTAGGAAAAAAAATTAATATAGACGGGGTTGTATACTTTCTCTTTTTCGATCCTGTTTGAAGGAAAACAGATGTGTTTGATAGTTTTTTTGTCGTTGTTTGGATGGTAAATTTAAAGTTTCAACAAACTGGAAAAAACATTTTTTGTGTTAATATAGGAACAAAGAAATATTATTTCTGGTTTTAAAATCTCAGATCAGAGCCGAGTTGGGTATTTATGAAAGCGAGACGTTAAACTACTCTTGTAACACACAGATCAAAACAAAACCACCCCAAGTTGAAGCTGGCTGTAGAGACACAGGAGACATAGTTGAACCAGCTGTGACTAGTTAAAACTATCTCTCTCGTGTTCATATATTCTGACATCATTTTTAAAACTTTCTCTATATTATATAGAAACCATTTATAATCTAAATATTAAGCACTTTTACATTTACTATAATACATACAAATATTACACATTTTTCTATATATAAATTTGGCTTGTCAGGGTGTTTGTTTGTATCCAATAAACGTCAAAACGGCTGAACCGATCGGGCCCAAATTTTTTGTGGGACGTGACCACAGGGAAGGTTTATAAATGATAAAAATTTTAAAAATGTGTTTTAAAGGTTTTTAATTTAGTAAAAAATTTAAATTCTTGAAAATTCGCGATTTTTTTTTGTTTTAAAATGTTAACAAAAGAATATGTTCAGAATTTAAATAGAAGATGGGCGCGAAGCGCCCTAAAAGCCTAGTATCTGAATAAACTGTAATCAACAATATGCGATATATATCAGGGTGTCCCAATAAACATGGAAATTTAATGATACTGATATCTATCTATATCTATCTATATATAAATTTGGCTTGTCTGTCTGTCATGGTGTCTGTTTGTTTGTTTGTATCCAATAAACGTCAAAACGGCTGAGCCGATCGGGCCCAAATTTTTTGTGGGACATCTAGGGACCCCAGGGAAGGTTTATGAAAAATCAAAATTTCAAATATTTGTCTCTATCAAAATTCGATCGTCATTAAATTTTTAAAAATTTTGAAAATCCGCGAAATTTTTTGTGAAAATCCGCGAATTATTTTTGTTTTGTTTTACGATGTACACAAAGAGAACATGTTCACAACTAATTTAGAAGATGGGCGCGAAGCGCCCTCTAAGGCTAGAAAGAAGGGCGCGAAGCGCCTTGAATTTCTAGTATCTATATATATGTATAAAGTTGTAATCTCTGTTTGTCTGTTTGTTTGTTTGTCCGATCATAACTCAGGAACCCCTGGACCGATTTGCCTAAAATTTTGATTGGTGAACTCGGGAGAGCCACGGGAATGTTCTTCGATTGGGTTTAAGAGTCTTGACTGGGGAAATATAACTTAAATCGTAATTAACGACAAAGGTCGGGTAAACGGTGGGACTAACTATGACACCCTTGGGCAACGCTGAGTTTCCAAGCTAGTGGAATATAAAAATACCTCCTCCTTAGCCCAAAGTTTAAAACTAAGTGCATACTCTTTACAGATACTTTGAGGGCAGATATCCCTAGTTCGTCGAAGAACAACAACAGCTGAAAATAAAGAAAATTTGGAAAGGGATGGTTTAGATATTCAAGTAGGGTGGCAGATAACAAATATTGTTTCGTAAAATAAAGTTTGAATATTTTTAAGATTTAGATTTCTTTTCTTTACAGTGAAAAGAAATTTACAGAATTCATTTTTGAAATTTTAATTGATAACTTATAAAATTCACTTATATTGTAATTTATGTTCAGTTTAAAATGAATATAGCAGACAGATTTTCCACACAAAAGTTGTTAATTTTATAATGTTTAATAACGATGACGTAAATTCGGTAAGTTCCGTTATAATCTGAGACACTTTAACCCTTACCTGATTTATAGATATATCTACAGTCGTGATCAATAACTCCTTTGCATTGACAGCAGCTGTAACTGCACAAATCACTGTGGCATCCTGTAATATTGAACTATGGGCGTAAACTTTAAATAAACAAACAATCGACCAACATTCCGTAAAAGTTAGGACTGAGCCTCCGTCAAAATAACTGTAATTACGACTATCAATGTCACAATTGTTTATTTAAATTTGAAATACAAGTAAAAACTAAACTATTGTTGATCCCGACCCCCTTTCACATTTTCTGCACTCTCCTTTTAAAATAGTCCAAGGATATAATTAAAAATTTATTTTTAAGGGACAGAAGGCAAACTATCAGTGACCCTCCATGCGAAGATGGCAATGCTTGATTCCGAACGATGCCCTAAAACATTTGTGTGATCAAATATGAAATAGATACCAATGTTTATAATTTTGAAAACTTATCATTTTCAATTGTGGGTTCTCTACAAAATGGACTTTGGCATTTCTAATGCAGTGCAAACATACGAATTATCAGATTTGAAAAATTTTAAACCAAGAAAAACGTCAATATCTTCCACATTTTTGATCCGCTAAATGTTTCAAGGTTACACTTCACAGTGAGTTTTCCTGGTTTGCATAAAACTGAACTGTTTGAAATCAAAGACGACATTCAAACCCTTCTGACTCCACCATTTCTTAGAATGACTGGCAGGGATAAATTAATTTAATCTATTCATTAATTCTAAGTACACAATTAACATGTAGACTACATTACAAATCAACAGTCTTCGGTTACTTGATAAGAAAAAGCTTTCACATACATTAATAAACTAAAATACTTTTAGTTTTATCAAAACCCTGTCATATAATAAACATAAAATGAATTAGAAGTCATCACTAATTTTAAGGAAAATCAAACCAAATTTGAATGTTACACACTGAGACAGTTAGCCTTTAATTTTAAAAGTAAACCCAATAACTAGGAGAAGTAGAAGAAAACTTTTCAATGATAGATAATTTATTTTATTTTGAAACATTTTTCTTCAGATTTAAAAACAATGAATTCTATGCATTGTATACAAATCAAATGATGATAAGTACTTATTACTACTATCTATTATTAATGTTAGGTTAAATATGTGTGGGGTTTATAACTGCCCCCCCCCCCCCCCTCCCCGGAGATGCAATGTTTAACTCAAATCTCAGATTGTCTTGTCAAGTACAACATTCAGGGTTTTTCACATAGATATATTTATCATTATTCTTGTGATTAGGGAATTCAACATTTAAATATATTCTAGCTGAAGAGCCCGGCGTTGCCCATGGAAAAGAAAATATTTGAAAAAAAATATTTTTAAAAATATTTGAAAAAAAATGTTACGATTTTTTTAGCCTAGAACACCACCCGGCCAATCATGAGTGTCCACAAAAAACATTCAGCCCAATCGGTCCAGCCGTTTGGCCGGCTATAGGGAACATATATATATATATACGAATGTCTTGTTTTATTACATAGATAACATATAATGTTGAATAACTAAAATAAAGGTTTTTTATTTGAAGTCATATTCTTTGCTTTTGTAATAAACTGTTAAACTTTTAATCTATATTTGCATCCAACAGATATTTACTAATTTGTATTAGTCCTGCTTTTGAATATCGTCTTTGTCTCCCTCCCTTTCCTATGCACAACCCCTGAACACTCACAGTGTGTCGTGAATCTAGCATTGCCATCTTTGCATGAAGGGTATCTGCTTACCAGACATTTGATTATATTTCTAATTTAAAACAAAATTCACCTTTGCTTTAACAACTGAGTTCTTTCCACTGACAACACACTCCTTGTAGACCAAACCTGGATTCTCAAATACCTCGTAGGCTTTACTAACTGCTTTACTCCTCCAAGTAGAGATGGGGTATCATTTTATTGAATGAACGAAATTTTCAAAAACGAACAAATTTTTCGAGGAAAATGGTGTCATTCAGAAAACAAACAAACAAAAAACGATCAAAATCGATTGTTGAGAGATTTTTTTCCAATAACATTTCTAAAAAACTATCGTTTTTTTACCGAATGAACGATTTTTTCGAACAAATCTTTTAAAAAACTATCGTTTTTTTTTCAGATCAAACAAATTTTATTGAACCAATTATTTTACTGAATAAACGATTTTACTACACGAGTGTTCAGTTAGAAAACGAACGAATTAGTTGATACATGAACGAGAGTTTTAAGAACAACAACAGAGATCAATTTTTTTGAACAAATGAAAAAAACGATGAACGAACAAAAGCTTGCCCAACTCTACCTCAAGGTTAAGAGGAGCTCTTCAGCTTTCGTATACACAGGAAAAAGAGTATCTGGGTTTATGTTATCAGCTGTAACTAGGAGAGGGTCAATATAGGTTTCTTTAGTGGAGCTAATCATTCCGGCAGAGTCAGTATAAACCTTAAAAAAAATCAATATTTTAGTCTTGAAACATTTAAAAGAGAAACATTTCATAAAGGGAAATTTTATAGAAGAACATTTCATAAAAGGACATTTCATAAAAGTACATTTCATAGAATGGCATTAAATAGAAGAACATTTCATAGACATGATATTTCATAGAAGGACATTTCATAGAAGGACATTTCATAGAAGGACATTTCATAGAAGAACATTTCATAGAAGTACATTTCATAGAAGGACATTAAATAGAAGAACATTTTATCAAAGGACATTTCATTGAAGGACCTTTCATAGTTGAAAATTTGATAGAAGGACATTACATAGGACATTTGATAGAAGAACTTTACATAGTAGAACATTTCATAGAAGGACATTTCTTCATAGAATAACATTTCATAAAAGGACATTTTATAGGAGGACATTACATAGAAGGACATTAAATAGAAGAATATTTCATAAAAGGACATTTCATAGAAGGACGTTTCATAGAAGGACATTACATAGAACAACATTTCATAGAAGGCCATCTCAAAGAAGAACATTTTATAAAAAGGACATTTCATAGAAGTACATTTCATAGAAGGACATTTCATAGAAGGACATTTCATAGAAGAACATCTGAAAGAGGGACATTTCATAGGGGGACATTACAAAGAGGGACATTTCATAGAAGTGTCATAGTTAGGAAATGGCTTAACTAGGAAATGTCTTATCTAAGAAAAGTCTTTTCTAAGTAAAGTCTTCTCCATGAAAAGTCTTATTTATGAAATATCTTAGCTAAGAAAAGTCTTATTAATGAAATATCTTAGCTAAGAAAAGTCTTATTTATGAAATATTTTAGCTAAGAAAAGTCTTTTCTAAGAAAAGTCTTTTCTAAGAAAAGTCTTTTCAATGAAATGTCTTATCCATCATCTACAGCTTTGCGTTTAAATGAATTTTTTGAAACAATTAATTTACAGTTTTCACCTCTAAAAGTTATAAATATTTAGATAATATAATATTTAGATAAATGAAAATAAATAAAAATTTACTACAAGGTAATGCATGAAAAGAATTCATTCACAAGAAAATGTGCAAATATAAAAAAAATTTGAAGGCTGTACATTTAACTTTTTGTATAGTGCTTCCTTTTTTTTAGCATAATCGTGACGTAAAAATTAGCATTTTTCGTATTTTTTCGCGAAACAGATATACACTAAATTTTCGCGAAAAAATGCGAAATTTTGCGAAAGAAAATTTTAACGAAGTTTCGCAATTTGTTCGCCGGAAACCCTGGGCTTACTGTACCTTTTCTAGGCCTTGATGTGTCCTGTCAGCATAGGACTTTAACACGTCGGAGATATCATCTTTAACAGTTTCGTATCTAAACATAACTTTGTTAAATAAACAGTTTGTTTCATAGATTGGTTAAAAGATTCTTAGCAGGTTCTTAAAGTTTAAGCGTAATTTCAAGTGATCTTTAAAGCAAAGATGACAATGCCCGATTTACAACGGTACCCTTACTCATCAAGTATGAATATTAATGTTTTTATTTATAAAAAAAGCAATTGTTTTTAATGGGAGTTTCTCTACAAACGTGATTGGCGCATTTCATCTGCAGGAAAACATGTAGGAATTATCGGCAACAATCAGTTTTAAAGCCAGAAAACCGGAAATATCTTCCACATTATTGAACAGATAAAGTTTAAATGGTACCGTTGTGAATCGGACATTGCAAGTACAATTAAGCATGCAGTACTCTTATTGATGATCGTTAGCGATAGTTGATTGTTAACATCATGTGACTTTAAATAATAGTAAAATACGATATTGATTAGAATAACGGATAAGAATTACTTTCAGAACAGTTAGAGGACTATCAATGTTGTTATCGTTATGAACGATGCGGTCAACATTAACGGAAAATCTTTTCCCGTTATATTAACGGCGCCTAGACATTTAAAGAAAATGGATGACAATTTTTTTCCCCATCATATTTTTCAATTTCTAAATGTAAACAAATAGTTTAGTTAGTATACTGAGTATCCGTGCTAAACCTTGATTTTTTAAATTTAATACTTTAAGATTTGAGAAAAAAAAAACATTTTTTGGGGTATGATTAATAAAGTTTTTTTTGCCATAACTTGGTACATTTTTAAAATCTTCTGAAATAAAAATAAAAACATTACTTGGTATTTAAGATTTTTTCCGATGCTGAATTAATTGAACTACTGAACAGAGAAACGAACTTGGATTCGAAAGTTTTATATGGAAACCAAGACTTCTGAAACCAATTTTAATGAATAGTAAGAAGTAGTTAAACTAAGTGAGCAAGTTAATCATTAGTTTGACCCGGCATATTGAGGAATTGGTTGAACTGAATTTAAAAGTGTTCAACCAAAGGTCAGAACTTCAGTGCAAACAATCGTTAATTTTGAACACTTGATTCCACAATTAAAAATATTTGATTTGACCACGACAGGTTACAAAAGAGAAATGAGATTAATCCGGAGCTAGGTCTGCATAAGATGGAGATCTATGCTTGATCCCAAATGTTTTAACTTTATGCTTCTCACAATTAGAGATGGACATCGGGATTTTTTAACAAAGAAATTTTTTGAACGAACGAAATTTTTCGTGAAAAAGGGTGTCGTTATGATAAAAAGACAATGATGGACAAACGAAATGGATTGTTCAGAGAATTAACCAAAATATCGTTTTTTAAAAACGAAGAAAAAAAAATTTAAAATTGTTATTACGAATTTGAAATAACCATCGTTTTTTTACAGAACAAACGAATTTTTCAAAAGATTTTAACAAAATCTATCTTTCTAACTTATTCACTAATGTTTTTTCCGAATAAATGATTTTTTGACAACAAAACTTTAGTTTGTTACTAAACAAACTATTTTTTCAAACAAATTATAAAAACTAACGTTTTTTACTGAATGAACGATATTATTAAACGAACGATTTTTCTGAACAATAGTTCTGTGATGGAACGAATTAAACAGATGGAAAATGAATAATCATTTTGAGTACGAACAAAATAAATTTTTTTAAACGATTGAAAACAAACTAACAAAAATTCGCTGACGAAGGATGAATGAACGAAATGAAAAAAGTCGACTGTGCCCATCTCTACAGTCACTTTTATTGATTAAATATGGTTCCTGGTTCCCTCCTTCTGCTACAGAACCACTAGAACTAGGACCACAATCTGGTTCCTGGTTCCCTCTGCCTGCTACAGAACCACTAGGACTAGGAACACAATCTGGTTCCTGGTTCCCTCTGCCTGCTACATAACCACTAGAACTAGGAACACAATCGCCATTTATGTATTTGACACGCTGAGATGTTCTTAAGCTGTCAACTAATATCTCACAGGTTCCAGTTCCACACATTCTAACAGAGATAAATCTGAAATGGTCTTGCACAAAATAATTATGGTTCAAAATAAAAATGTTGATCCAAAAATCCGAAAATAAATTAAGTGTAAAAATGCGAAAAGATGTAATTAATTTAGCGAGAACAGTTTACGGAAATGAAAAGATGTAATTAATTTAGCGAGAACAGTTTACGGAAATGAAAAGATGTAATTAATTTAGCGAGAACAGTTTACGGAAATGAAAAAATTCTGCAACAATAGATTGAACAAAAAAATAACTTTTTAAGCGAAGCAGATTAAAACCAAATTTCACAAACAAAATGCGAAAAATTCGAATTTTTTTTACGGAATACTTTCGCAAAATTATTTTCCCTTTTCGCTGGAAACCCTAACTACAACCATCACAATATGATGTAGTTTTGTTGATATTATTGATTTTAATAGGATTCAATTTTCTATTTCTTGGATTACATTTTAACAAAATCACTAGACCCTTTATACAGGCCGTCGTCTGCTGCTTTTTTATACTTTTCTTGTCGGTCTGTCCGTTTTTTTTTTTTATTTAAAATGCACTCACAAAATATTATTAAATCCGCGAACTTTTTGTAATTGTATTATATCGTACAAAGATAATATACCGAAAAAGAGGATTGGCGTTGTGTCTAAAACCTTAAATTCTGAGAAATTAATGTGTACTGGAATATGGTAAGGTAGTCATACGATTTGGAATTCTGTACCCTATAAACCTACGTCACAACGCCCGTAACTGGAATATGAGGTCAGAGGGTACTAATCTTCCCCGTATCGTATCGACCTTTCATTCGTGCGCAAGCTTTGTTGCGATACCTTAACTATCTTGGAGAAATCTGAATGAAATAATGATAATTAACCTCTTCGTAGTGCATAGTGCGTACACTTGTACAGTATGAGCCATAACCGTACTGTTCATTTGATGCTTGAAGCCGTTCCTTCCATACATTTGTCGACAAATTGACGTCTCCTATATTGGTCGACAAGTGTACGGAGAAATTATTTATCTATTAGATAAGAATTTAGCATGAGACATCTAGTGGCCAACATAACGTCCCCAAAGTATGTGAACTACACGACCACTATCTATAGAGAGAACGGGCTCTGTACTGTGTCTTGAAGGTCGGTGTCTTCAGTCTTGCAATCTTCCCTCTGCAATAATCTTTCCCAATAAAACAACTGCTCAAAAATGTTAGACATTAAAAACAATATAAAAGAATATTACGACGTTTAAACAGATGACAGTGCTTATGCTTTTATGTAATTTCATAATTTTCAATATTTTTAAATTGTTTTCATAAACAACATTGTCAAGATATGGTTCAGAATGCTAGACACTGGTGTCTTCTACCTTTCAAGCACTAATAAAATATCTTATTTTCACAATCCAGCTAAAAAGGCGGCAAGGTAGTAGGGCGTTAAAGGGAGTGTTTGCGAAAAATAAAAAGGGGTATGGGCTTACATCGAAAAATAATCGATTCTAATCTATTTGTTGCATTTATAGGGAGAACATTGTTAAAACATCTTATACTGAAGAACGTAGCGTCCATACAAATTGAGAAAGTTGCAATACACGACTTGTATCGTAAAATAATCAGGGGCGTACGAGGGGGGGGCCTGG